ACTTGAAATAGCTTATATGATGTACGCAACTAATGCAATTTTTTTGGCTTGTTTTTTCATGACTTCTCTTGTGTTGTTTTGTAGCTTCTACCTGGGAGATAAGGAATCTACACACATCATCAGGCTCTCCCAAATGTCTTGTGGCACAAATGCTTGAGATACACTGCAAAAGCTGGTTTAAATGGAAGAAGAATAACTTCATAGAATTTGAGAAAACCATTCCTTTTGGATTGTTGAGTCAAGTGGCAGGTGCTTACCTTTTGTTTTTTGCATCTTGTTTGTACATGTTCCTACTTGATGCATAATGCAAGACACCTTTTGGTATGTAAGGGGAAGATGGACCACATATAATGAAAAATCAAACCAATGGAGTAAAGGCAACCTATCTAAGATATACTCATTCTCACTTTCATCTCGAGGAGGAAATTGTTGTGTTTTTCTGTCTTCTTTTTTGTCTCATGATGCATTATGAAACATCAAATTTTGCATTTATGCTTCCTATTGAGGACCTTAGCTTGTTGTTTTAAGAATGAAACTGTACCAAATGACAACATACTTTGTGTTACTTGTTGATTTCAATAACATTTTCATAGAATTTAACATTGTGTGGGATACTTGATTCTGAAATATATTCCTTCACATTTTGCTAACTGGTTGATTTTTTGCACAATATCATGCTTTATTATTTTATTCATTTTTCTTCTAGTTTTCAGTTGAAGATTACGCTTCTTTAAAAAAATGGAAGTTGCGTTGCATTGAAAGGTTATGCTTCTATAAAAAATGGAAGTTGCTTTCTATGTTGCACATATTCTTCAAATAGGTTCCGCTTCCCGTCCCCAAAACGTTCCCGGTCGGGTACTTGGGGGCATCTCCGCACCCAAATCCTTTATAAATTATGAAACAAATTGGCATTTCACGCTCCTGACCCCGTCCCTGTATAAGTCCATGTCACCTTCTCGTGTGCAACCCTGGACTTGCTTTGCATTGAAAGGTTATGCATCAATCAACAGATACCTAACAATGTTTAAAAGGCAGTTTCAAGCCTTGATGCTTTTTGTTAAATGAGGTGAGGTATAAGTCTCAAAGTGGTATGAGGTGTGGCGCCTAACACTGTTGTATTTAAAATTACAATTCTAATACAACAGTTTGTAATTTTATGAAAATAATTAAGTCATAAAATTAGATGCTCCTACGCACAAGTGAAATTTAAGCTATACAAGTTTCAAAATTACTTTCAAAGCTCAGGCTTGAGCACGAGTTAAATTTAACTGCTGGTCAAACCCCCTTTAATTCTACATCTCAAATCATGCAATTACAAAGTGGTTCATTTCCGTCATAGATGTTATGTCGAAAACAAAACAGAAGAAATCATTAGCACCGGGCAATATGATTACCACATTTGGGTCATGCATGTGTGTTACTAACACCTGCGTTTAACCTGCTTTGTAGTAGTTTATGACTTCCTGCCCAATATTTGATGTTTCTGGAACCAATATGTTTAGAAACACAGTAAAATTCTCCATAGTTCCAAAAGAGCTTTCTGGTAAATGATTTGTGCAGGTCTCAAGGAATATGTAGGAGCAACTCCAGCATTCACATTTGAATCATCCACCGTAATAGTTCATTCAAATACATCTGATGTTTCTACACCCAGTGTCGAATTTGATGGTGAGGAAGGATCAGATCAATTCTATGATGCGATTACTGTTGAGTCGTCTTCATCGGAAGATGAAAGCGACAATGAAGTTGAACTCGTAAACAAGGTTTTCCACCTTTTTGTTATAATGATAAGGGAACCATAGAATAATCATAATATGGTGCAGGTTTTAATGCTTCTCTTTGCCCAGGACAAAAAAGTTAAGCTGAAGAATGTTTCATGGGCAATAGCAAGCTTGGCATTGAGGCGAGATTCAGGTATATTCTTCCGGCTTATCCCTCTTCATAGCATAGGGTGGTTGGTACGTTGGTTCATACGTGTTATTTCTAAAGCAGTATGGTTCTTTATTTTTTAATTGCTGGAATTTGCATAAGCTCTTTGCAATTATTATGCTTTATTTTTAACTGTTTGAGTTTTATGCTGTTGTGTGTATAAGTATATTGTTCCCATAGAGATTAACATTACCACTAAAGGCGAATTCCACATTTGGGAGGGCATTTGGAGCAGTAGAGGCCTCTCCACATGCTCTCCAACGGGTGCTTTGTCACTATGAAAGGGGTCAAACAGAACAACCTTTTTATTTTTTATTGGGTATTTGGGTAACACTGCACACATCTTGACCCCTCCAACAAAGTTGGGATTATACTGGGTTTTATGGTTGTTGTCTAGAAGCTCAATATAGTTCATTTGTTTTATCTTCTTTGCTGAGCGTGTAATTGGTAACCTGGTGCAGCGCCAGATGTTGGCAGGGAGTTAAATCCAAGTGTGCCCCGTGTAATGCTCAATCCAAGTAATTTCCATGGTACCATGCAACAAGGGAAAGATGAGAATGACACTAACTGTTGGACCTCTCCAGGGGGTTCAGGGTTCATGATCAGAGGGAAGACATATTTAAAAGATTACACTAAGGTAATATGGTACAAAAGCAATGTTTAAAAAATAACTTAACTTCGTTTTACAGAACTCTCTTTTTGGGTCAAAAATGATGTTTGAAACATGTCTTTTTGCAACAAAGAAAGTGTATCTTACTGTGATGTCTACAATAGTTCTTACCCAGCATACAACTTGCGGTAGTGAAGCCATTATTTTGGCCAATTTTTTTTGGAGTGATCGACCAAAACTGCTTTCATTCATGAGGAAAAGAGATAAAATCTATAATTGGTTCTTTAAAGCAGGGGGTTTTCCATACTTATTCCTCTATTATCAAATATTACCCCCATAATCCTTCTTTTATGAGTACCTTTCCGCAAAGAGTCCTTTTTTTACCTTTAGTCATGTTGGTGTTATTTTGAGGGTTAAAAATGTAATTTGACATCAACTTTATGTCTAGTGACGTATTCTGATGTCGGTTAAACAGACAACACAACAATAATGACTATGGCTGTGGATTAGGATTCTGACGAAAGACTATATCTGTAGACTATGGTTGTAGTAGAAAGCTACAATTCACAAACGAAGCATTAGGAGTGGCCTATGGAATTGTGTATGACAAGAAAGATATATGATCATTGTGCAATTACACTTTTAGCCCTCAAATTAATACTAACATGACAAAAGATTAAAAAAGGACTATTTATGGAAAGATACTCATAAAAGAAGGACCACCGGGGTAATATTTGATAATAGAGGACTATATAGGAAAAATCCCCTGTTATAAAGGACCAATTATGGAATTTACTCTAAGAAAAGATTATATTAAAATTGGAAAAATACATGCCTCCCAGTTGAATGCCTAGCTTTTCATAGTGATATGTCGTGATCAAGTACAACTTTGAGTTTTCGCAGCGAACATAGAGGTTCAAGTTGTATAGTTCTTTACCTACTATGCATTCCTAATGAAATATGCATTGACAGAATCTAAGCTTGGTGTCTTATTCTCATTTGATGATAATATAATCTACAACAACAACCCAGTTGGATCCCACGAGAGTAGGGTCTGGGAATAGTATAATCTATTTCCCCAAATAAAACAGATAATATAATCTATCTACAGGTCAAGGGAGGAGATCCTTTGCTAAAGCTAATTGCAGTTGACTGGTACAAGATGGAGAATTCAATCTCAAAAGTTGCTTTGCATCCTAAGTGTCTTGCTCAGGTAAAGGGCACCCCAAATACTTTATTACCCTGCTAGTTTTTGCAAAACTATCATGGATGTTGTTTAAACACAATGGCAATGAACAACCGATATAGCTCAAATTTGAAATACTTAATGAGAAATAAAACATTGGCACTTTGATACAAAATTTGGGGAATTCCACTCCCATGATAACTCCGTTTGTTAGTATTAATAGATGCTGTGTCACAGTATGATTTTCTTTCTAATATCCTATCTCACGGCTTCTGAGACTCTGTCAGCTTCTCCCTTTTATTATAATGTATCTTACCTATATTCCAGTTTAGTGTGGGATTACATACAAAGATGTGTGTGTGTGTCTATGTATACACACACACTTTCTCTCCGCCCCAAATTAAACTCCCACCCAACCCCCCTTACCTCGCAATGGGTGGAAGTCTGTGAGGCATTGGGGTAATTTTGTTGTTTGTTGTTTCTTTTCCACGGAGTTCAAGAAAAGGTGAAATTCTGTGGTTGAAATTTATGGAGAGAGAGTAACAATGTAAACCATTCAATGCTTTCCTTTTTAAAGTAGTAAGAAAAGTATTGGCATTTGACATCTGCTTTTTCTTCTAAATTGGAGTATATGTTTTGCTTCTAATGCTTGTTTGGATTGCAGTCTGAAGCTGGAAAGAATATTCCATTCATCCTCATCATTAACCTCATGGTATGTTTAGCTATGCATTTTTAGTTTTTTGGTTGTGTATGGGGTTTTAGCAGAATATGTTAGATTACTGTACTCTTCTTTAGCTCATCCGAACCTTCAGTTTTTCACAACGATTTGTTCTTGGGAAGAAATATATTTACACATGGAGTACACCCTTTTGGGTTTTCGGTTCTTTCACAGGTTCCAGCTAAACCAAACTATAGCTTGGTTCTTTATTATGTTGCTGATCGGCCTGTTAATAAGGATTCATTGTTGGGTAAATTTGTTGATGGGACTGACATGTATCGTGATTCAAGATTTAAATTGATTCCAAGCATTATTGAGGTATATAACAAATACTCTGTCAGATTAATTAAAATTCCTTTCCTGAACTTTTGACGTATGATCTAAGTGCTTGTCGAGTAGGGATATTGGATGGTCAAACGTGCAGTTGGAAGTAAAGCCTGTCTTTTGGGGAAAGCAGTGACATGCAAGTACCTCCGCCAAGACAATTTTCTAGAGGTTGGATTCCATTAATATATCTTAATGTCATTCTGTTATACTTGTGATGATGGAAAAAAGTAGCCTCTTCTAAATTTTAGATGCACATCTACTGGGCTTTACTGTATAGAATAATATGTTGTCAGTTCTTGCCAAGTTTCTCTTTTACCCTTGCAGCTGACATGCAAACCAGATTGTATATTTCAGCTAGAGATTTGTTCTCATTGCATAATGCATACTTAATTTCCCTTTGGCAATTTATAAAGAGCACCCCAGGTCTTGATGCAGGTTTTGCATTTGCAAGAAACCCCACATGCTAGGAACTTAAAGAAAGAATTTAATTTGTTCTTCACTTCAAGAGTATGAAGTAGAAATGTTATTGTATGCATTATATGAATTGACTTCTGATAGAGTGGGAAGTAGTAAGGAAAAAATGAACAGAATATTGAAAAATCTCCTACTCACTTTCTCAGTAGGAATCTCCCCCAGAGAATAAGCAAAAAGCCAATTTTTTTTTTAAAGGAAGTATGATATATCAGTATATCACTGATGTGTTAGCATAAACAGGCTAAAGGAGTATGTAGTGCAGATATACATAGAAATAACTGAATAACTGGCTCTATATAACTGACTAAGTAGACCTAGTTAGTGGCTCCATGATCCACCCCTTGATGTAATTGACTCTAATTAAAATGAGAACTAATTACAATATTACCGACTCTAATTTAATACTCCAACTTGATAACTTAGGACCAAGATAAACTTGATAATTTAAAGAGTAGATTGACTTACCTTCTTCCATAAGCTCGAGAAGGGAGAAAGACGTGTTGCAGCGATGTCCCTGCTTGAATGGATTGCCACACCGAAAACAGAGCCCTAAGCATCGTGGACGAAGTCGAAGACACTTCGTACAAATGTGGTATCGACCTGTCCTGGTGTGTGTATGAACAAGGGTAGGTATAATTATCAATCCGGGCTTGGCACACTTGTGTAGTTTGTTTGAATCCATGACCCAAATTCACTGACTTCTCCACTCAGGGCAAGACTAGAAGCCCGGTAAACATTTTTGCGTCTTGTGAAGACCTATTTCTGTTTGCATCCATCAATCGGTTCAGGAACCCCGAGAAGACATAGCTTAGGCCAATTAGACCCAGGAGCAACCCTCTTAGACCACTTCTGCGTATCCTCTCCGAAGCTTCTTGTTTGCTTGATGTTGCAGAGAATATTATTCAGGTTTCAGAAATTGAGGTCTCTAGTGTTCATTCAAAGTCTTAACCAAATTATCCCAATGTGTCTACAAATCTACAATCTTTACCTTGCCATCTTCATGCGTATTGTAATAGCAGTAGTTTTCAGCTTTAAGGAACCACTCACCGGGATCCACTCCTCTGAACTTACGGAATTCAATCTTTGCATAGGGTGCGTGTGGATGATCGTCAGGTTCTTCCTCCGCGTCTTCGGTCCAGCGTCACATCTTTCCTGCATTATTTCAACCTTGTCTCATAACTCGTCAATGACGTCAAGCTTGGCGGTAATTGCTGCCAATGTATCACTCATCTGAATGTTATGGTCACCATCGTCTTCGTTCCTATTAGCAGTAAAATTGGCAGCAGAAGAGCGTCTTTCAACCATGGTAAAACGGCTCTGACACCAATGATTGAGAGAGAAGTAATAAGGAAAATAACAAACATAAAATTGAAAACTCTTCTCTCTTAGTAAGAATCTCTCCAAGAGAATAAGCTAAAAGCCAAGAGGATGTCTTAAAGGAATTGTGATTTATCACTGATGCCTTGGCAATTGGCTTTGAAAGGATAACACAATATCTAGTGCATATTTACGTAGAATTAACTGAATAACTGACTCTATATAGCTGGCTTAGTGGACTTAGTTAGTGGCTCCAACGCCTCCATGATCCAACAATTCATATAATTAATTGACTCTAATTTAAATGAGAATTAAATAAACTGACTGATTCTAATTTATTACGGATTATAAACCAGAACTAAATAAAACGACAAACACAAATTTCAGAACTTGAGTTCATATTCTTACACCACTGGGTAAATTAGCAACGGTTTAGTTTCCTACAGAATCGTACCAACTCCTGTTTGTTTGGAGCAATTCCACTATGAATTTCATTTCTTATGATTATTAAGCATGAAAATGTGCTACATGAGCTTAATTTTTACATTTTTGAATAGCCTGATCATTTCATAGTTCATACTGTTACTACAATGCTCAGCATTGATCAACCTGAATGTTTGCTTAGCTGTTTTCAATGCAATATAAAAATGGCTAAGTGAGTGTTCTTGTTTATATCCCATCTTGTTTGATTGCTGTTCATCTAGATCTGAAGTAATATTTTGGTACTGTTGGCTTTTGTTTTTGAAGTATTTATCCTATTCTTTATTCTATATATTTTATAAGATTTAACGAATGGGCAGATTGACGTGGACATTGGCTCTTCTTCTGTCGCAAGGAGCATCATTGGTTTAGTACTGGGATATGTAACTAGCCTTGTTGTTGATCTTGCTATTTTGATAGAGGTATGCAAATTTCTTTTGGTGGAAAACTATTCTTTTCTGTTTGCATTTTTTCTAGCCAATTTACACACCATGAGTTCATTGATATTTGATTGTTTATGTTGTGCAAGGCTCTAATGCTATCTGTTACTCCATATCTGTATTTTTAAAGTCAACCTCTATTTGACCAAATTATTAGCAGTTTTCAATTCCCAACTTGCCGAGTTCTTCACAAACAAATTTTTGTCCATTTAACTCCCTTCCCATATTTAACTAACAAAACAAAATCTAACATACTCTTGTGCTGTTTATTTCGTGGTCATTTGATCCCGTTGGATGCCATTTTCTGTATGGACAATGAGAGTGGTTACTTGGTCACATGCAATTATGTGAGCATTTAGATCTTGAAATATTTGTCAATCCCTTGATTTCCCATGATTTTTGGAATTAGAACTTCAGAATTATAAAAGGCTTAACCCACGGATCTCATGCTAATAGTCATTTCCAGAGAAATCCCAGGTTTATACTCTTTACACTATGTTTGGTTTAAGGAATTTGAAAGGGAAAAGAAAAGAAAATGAGATGGAAAAGAGTTTTTCTTGTTTGGATAGAGAGGAAAAGAAGAGAAAAGGAGAAGGAAAAGAAAATGAGAAGGCAAATAGTACTAAGAGGGAAACCAAATTCCTCCCATTTTGGTGAGGAAAATGAGAGAAATCATTTTCTTTTCTTTTCCTTCCAAATTCCTTAAACCAAACATAGTGTTAAAATCAGAAGGGGATTAGATTAGAAAGAATGTCAGGTCTTCCATGCAGAGGGGATTAGGTAAAATACTCAATGCAAGTAGCTATGCTAGACTAATGATTCTTATTAAGTTTGTGAAAATTTGAAGGAAACGTCCGTAGGAAGTACACCTGGAACTGTCATGTATGTTCTTTGCTAATTAGTGGTAGTGATTAATTGTTGAAAAAAATCTTGTGAATTTCCCGATCACTGCAAACCATCTTTAAAATGCAGGCAAAAGAAGAGGCAGAACTCCCGGAGTACATTCTTGGAACTGTTCGGCTAAATCGAGTGAGGCTTGACTCTGCTACCCCATTAGATGCTTGAGGATTTCATTCATACAAAATGATTGAGCGGAACGTGCATTCTTCAAAGCAATAAGAAATTGAGACTTTCATAATTTGTCAAATAGGTATTTTTGGTTCTTCAAACAAGAGAATGTGGATATTGTATCACTGTATATTTTGCACTTTTAGGAGACTCATAATTTGACATATGGAGCGTTCAGGTTGTATTTCCTAAAACCCCTAACGGGAGAGCATATATGTAATTTTTATTCTTTTGGGTTCGTTTGGAAAGCGGGAAAATGACCTATGAAAAATGATTCCTAGAAAAACAAAACGACTTATTTTCCTGAAGTTTTCCTTTTTTTTTGGGGGGGTTTGGCTAAAAATTTGAATATCGTTCATCTCTGTTTGGTTCGTATCCGGAAAATGAAAAGAAGGATGTGCAGCTAGCAGCAACAAGTTTTGTCATTGTGGCATATTGTCGAATAGGTTGCCAGCGTCCATGAGTCAGTTTTTGGTGTAATCTCCTTAACCTTCTTTTTCCCATACTTCCATTGCAAAAGCAAATACACTACCTTGTACGGTTGAAAAAACAAAATTAGGGGAGTATGTTCCATCTCTATCGTTAATATACTCATTTTAATGCTTTTGTAATGTTTGTTAATCTTTTGGCATCGAAACTTGAAGAGAAGACATCAAGACAAGAAAGCGTGAAGTAGATAGTGATGGTTGTACGTTGATCGTTCGTTGAGACTTATTTATCTATATCGTTATATGCATATCTTCGAACTTAATGTTTGTACCCCATACTCAAGTCCAACGTTAGGTTCCTTATAGTCATTTATAGCATCTCGTTCCATATGTGGTTGTTGTTGTTGCTAGAAAACTTTTAAAAATAAGTTCATATGTTTTATGCTCTTTCGGATTAAACATTAGGAACACGATATTTAGATCCTATGGCAATGACTTGTCTTTATTTATCGTTCATAAATGAAATTATGTGTTAAAAATGGATAATAGAACATAAGGATCAAAATCTTGTAAGAGTAACATGATGGTTAACGGTTGACCTCCCAGTGGGACGGTCAAACCGTTGGATTGTTTATACGCAACCTCGTCTCCAACTTCAGGATAGTCCACTTACAAGAGTGTTGGTATTGTTCTTGTTGTAAGATAGCATCATCGTCTCCCTAAATGGTCGACCGTCTCAACCAACGTTCCACATGCCTAGGCGATCGAAAATCACTCAACTCTGTGTCTGGAATCAAAAGAGTATTTATACCAAACTAAAGAAGGCCACATACCAATTTCTGAATCTGAAGAAAAGGACGCTTTGACCCAGACTCGGACCCACTACAAGAAAACTTGCATTTTGCCGCACTTATTTTACCGCACATAACTAAGTGTGGCAAAAAATTAAGGTGTATTCAGCTTTACCACACATGATTGTCGTTGTTGAAAAAACTCTAGCCCAATATCTAAGTCCCTAAAAAAATCCAACCCATACAAATGACTCCACGCAAAAGTGAGGATAAATGGTTGAAAGTAAGCTATGTTACTATTACTGTATGATGATTTTTAAAATTATAAATATGGGTTTGCTTCATGCTCTAGACGAGCTTTGCTTGAAGATGCTCACATAATGAATTAAGGAAACATTTTTGAAAATAATGATTTATTGAAGCTATGGGTAAATGATATTTGGTAATAATAATCTTAACCTCTATCAAGTACGGAGTATCACTCAGTTGTTGTTTCGCCGAGCGTAAACTTTTTTTGTTGTGTGGTTGTGTGCAGGTAATCCAAACAACGGAGCCAATCCCAAGGATAAGGGATGCTGAGACAGGAGAATTCGCCAAAAATTGCAAGACTGTTCTTCCATAATTATATTGTTAAGGTTTTAGAATACTTTGGAACTTGAACCCACATTTACAAATTTGTTGAATCGTGTTTAACTTTCGTAAAATTGTATTTAATTACTCTGAAATTAATTTTTTTTATCATGTTTGAGAAAAACTATGTTTTAAAATGATTTGAAAGTATTCTAATATCATTATAAAAACCATGACCATTGCTACTACGCCTACTCAACTCATCTGCCAAATGATCTAATGACCATTTGTGTATTTTAAGCAATGCTTCGTTACTACATAGGCCATGACCTAAACAAAATAAATAACCTACTATCATACATATCATTTAATAATAATTCAAAATTTAAAATTGATCATTATTTATTATTTATCTATATATAAATATTGTTGGGAAATAAACACACAACACACACAAATAATCTGCGAGAAACGAGAGAAACGGAACACAAACGACACACAAGAATTTAACTTGGTTCAGTTTCCCTAATACACGGCTGCAACAGGAGGATTTTCTTATTTCACTTGTGGTGCCTCACGGAATTACAAGTACACGGGCTCCATATATAGGAGAAAGCAAAACTAGGGTTACATAATATGGGCCGACCAATAATTCAAGCCCAAGCCTCCACAAACCCAACAAATATGAATATTTTATATCAAAATTTTTTTTGTCATTTTAAAAATCATATCTTTTACGGAGTAATATTTTCTTATAAATGTACATAACTTTTAAACATGCATACGATTTTTTATAATGTGCACGTTCTATGCATATGAAAAAAAAATCACCCTAAATAAGATTAAAACATAGAAAAATATTAAAATAGGACTTTCATGTTTTTATTCTCAAAATAGCAGTTCGCACTGTGGTAATGTGGAGGTAATGTGACACTGTACACGTGCACATTACAATACTTTTTGATAATGTACAAAATAATTGAAATTCATTCTTTTTTGTTTGTTTTATTCGATATTCTTTGTTTGTCATTTTATTTTACCTGTTTTCAATCTTTATTGTAAGAAATTAAACAAAAAAATAATAAAATAAAGCCAAATTAAATAAAAAAGATGAAAAACACAAAAAATAAGATAAAAAATAAAAACAATACGTAGTAGTATTCTTTGTTTTCGATGTTTTTGTTTGTTGACATTTTTATTTGTTTTTTTTTATCTTTTTTCAAGATATTTTAATAATATTTATTTGTTTGTTTACGACATTTTTTTTGTTAGCATTTTTGTTTGTCTTTTTTTTATGTTTTTTTGTTTAGTTTGGGCTTATTTTATTCACTTCTTTTGTTTAATTTTTTACCACAAAAATTTAAAATATTCACAAAAAAATGTCAACAAACAAAAAAATTGAACGTATGATATGATTTTTCTGTTTAATTAAAATGATCAATAAAATAAAATTAATTAATTAATAAAATAAGCCGAACGAAGAATAATTGAAACATAAAAAAGAACAACCGTAAGCATAAAAAACGAATCCAAATTTCAATTACTCCATCCATTCCGAAATGGATTATAATTTTTTTGCGACCTACCTCTCGATAATTTTTGTTTGTTTGTATATTTGATTAATTATTTATATACCAATTTGTAAATAAATTGATTTTAAAAAGTGTGAGATTTTGTCTCTTTTTATATTTGTTTAATGTTGGGGTACCCCCGTCCGTAATTTCGTAATTTATAGTTGACTTAGCGTACCTACCCTATATGGTAGGAACTGTGTTAGACACCCATCTGATCAGTAAACGTGAAGTCCTGTCATCGATTACCTACAGTATGAGAATGGCTTAGTTTCATTTGAAACTTGGGATTTCATCACACTGATAATATCTATCAATATACTGATAATATCTATCAATATATGCTGTTACAGGTGCGTATAATGTGTTATGTTTATGAATATTTTCAAAAGATAATATCAATGCAGCCACTACCCTGTCATTTTAGTTACCCTTTAGAGTAAACAACCCTATGAAATGGGTTTGTTTACTCTCAAGGACCACAAAATTTGTAACTACTTTTTTAAATGAGAAATTGTAATTAAAGTTGTGACGGAGAGAGTAATTTTTACATTATTTTTCTGAAAAAATATATTACCTCCGTCCCAGTGTATTTGTCCAGTTTAACTTTTTCGAATCAAACTAGACAAACTTTAAACTCCAGTTACTCACAGTTTATATTGCATATAAGCATAATGAAATACAATTTTGAAAGTTCTTCATACGATAAATCCAATAAAATCATTTTTATGTTAAAATACATTATGGTTTTTATTTAATTAAAGCTCAAAATTTGTCTAGTTTGACTTGAAAAAAGTCAAATTGGACAAATACATTAGGACGGAGGGAGTAATACATTAAGATAACATTAAAAATATAATATGTTTGTTAACAAAAAAGATAAAAAAAAAAGTTGTTTATTTTTTATTTTATTGATTATTGATTATTATTTTTTAATAATAGGGTTGTAAGAAAAGGGGGATTGAAAAAAAGAGGAAGGGAGAGGGTGGGGAGATGGCGGGGTGGGGGGATGATTAGGAGTGAACATATTATCCGAACCGACCGTCCAACCGATGCCTAAAAACCGAACCGCTCGAAATTTTTGGTTTCGGTTAAAAAGGCTCAAGAAATTCAGTTAGTTCGGTTAATCGGTTCGGTTTTCGGGTTGGATGTTGAATTAGTAAAAACGACCAAAAAACCGAACAAAATAGAATCCAAAAGTAAAATGCCCATTTGATTCAATCCATCCAAAGGCCCAAGAGTATTAACTAAAAGGAAAAGCCCAAAAGAGTATTAACTACTAAGAGATACAGAGAGTAAGAGTACGGAGTTTTTCATCCTGCGTTAACCCAACTCGGCAAACCCTATTCATTCTTCCGATTCCACTGTCATCTCCGTCACCCACTCGTCACCGTCATTTCCTCTCTCATCGCCGGCAGCCACCAATGTCACGAACAGGACGGAGGCAGTAGAGGACGTCGTCAGTAGCCGCGAACTCGAGACGGCCATTCTCCACTCGCGAAGGCGAAAAGGTAATCTTTTAATGAATTTTGGGATTATTTGAATGAATTTCTCCATTAAAAGAATATCAAGGAATTACAACATTGAATCTTGAGAAGAAAATGTAGTAATTACAACCTTAAATATCAAGTATTTCTCCAATTATTGTCAACACTCAAGTGGTAGTAGATTTATTTTTTTGGCAGAATCAACCCCCAAACCCAATTCTCAAATTATTTTATTGTAATGGTGATATACAATTTGGTTATAAATAACCGACCGTAACCGTTCGGTTTAATCGGTTTCGGTTTTGTCGGTTATGCAAATATAACGGTTCGGTTTCGGTCGGTTTTTATAAACCCAAAAAAAAGTCGGTTAGTTCGGTTTTGGGCCAAAACCGACCGAACTGACCCTATGCTCACTCCTAGGGATGATGGAGGCTTTGTAGAAGAAGAAGAAAAAAATGAGGGAGTGAAAGAAGAAGGGAGTGGGAGGAGGAAGAAGAAGAAAAAAGAAATGAGGTCAAATTGAAAATGTTAAAATATACTTCCTCCGTCCCACAAAAAAGTTCTCATTTTTAATAGTGTTTAGTCAAATATTTACACGCTTTGACTACAAATAGTGAGAAAAATATATTGAATTATAAAATAAATTTAATATAATTGGATTCATCTTAGGATCTAGTTTTGATATCTCAAATTTTTTTAGCATTTCTTTATTTAGATTATATTTAATTTGTGGTCAAAGCGTATAACTATTTGACCAATTTATGGTCAAAAAGCGTATAATTTGTGGAACTTTTATCCCAAATGACCTGATGGTTACTTAAAAACTGGCTCCAGTAACCATTTTTAGGCAAAGAGTGGGCATTAGTGCCTAATTTTTAAATCATATGGGGCACCTGTGCTTATTTTTTATTTTTTGTTTCTTATTTGGTTTTTTTTCTTTTTTTACTTTTTTTATCAATTTGTTTCCTTTTCTTAGAAAAGTTTTTAAATATATTTTCAATTTTTATAATGTTTTAAAATTCCAAAAATTCTTTTTTTTTAAATAAAAAAAATATACTCAATGTGTCTCAAATTAAACATTTTCACTTTTTGTTTTCTAGAATATGTTTTTGGTAAGTTCAGAAAGAAAATTTAGAATACAAAATTAAAAATATGGAAAAACAAAATGAAAACAATTGAAACATGTAAAAAAAGTCTTATACAAAAAGAAAATTTTAGAACGCCTAAAAAGTCTTTAGAATTGAGGTGTCCACAAAAAATATTCATATTTATTTTTTCTTTTATTTTATTTCTTTTTTTATTCCTCATTTTTTGAAGTTGTCAAAAATATTTTTACTTTTTTATTTAAGAAAACAAAAAAAATTATTAATTTGAGAGGTACAAATGCAACATGCTTGTATGTTAATTTTTTTCAAACAAAAATAAATTTTAAATCTAAAGAACATTATATGAACATATAAAAAGAAATTTAGAAAATATTGATTAATAAAAGAAACATAAAGGAAAAAAACAAAAAATAAGAAATAAGCACGAGTGTCTCCTATGGCTTGGAAAATACGCACCAATACCCTCTTTTTCGCCAAAAATGGTCGGAAAATGATCAGAGAGGATATTAGGACAACATTTTGAAACTACAGGAACTTTAAGAATATGTTTTAAAAACAGTGAGGATATTGGTGCCTATTTACCAAACTACAAGGAGTGTTGGTGTTATTTGGCATAAATCCTGATCAGATTTTCGAAACCCGATCCTCCCTCCTAGGATTTAGATGCAAAATAAGGACTCGTTTGGTGAACTTTTGGTGTATAATAAGATATGAGTTTTGAAAATGATATATATTTTACTACTCCGTATTATTTAGTGTAAATTTTACTTTTACCTAAGTACTATTAAAACATAGTAACTTTTTCCAAGGTAGTATCATATGTTTTTATTTTCTAATATAGTACCTCTGGTCATTGTCCACTGGTCATTGTTCAACTAAATGTTCACCGTCATTAGACACTATTCAAATTAAATGTACAACATCACTAGACATTGTTTAAGTACTATTTAGGAAATAAATAAGTTTTAGTAAAAAATGACATATGTTAATATTTAGTGTAAATTTCACTTTTGGCTTTATCAAACACTAATCACACCCCAATTCCTTCAGAATCCGTTTGGTGTCTGGAATTGATGGAATTGGAATTGAAATTGAAATTCCATGGGATTCAATTCATTTTTTGAATTGAATTGAATTGGAATTAAATTCACCAATTCCAATTCATTTTTTGCACTATCAATTCTAAGTCTACATAATTTTTGTGCTACCAAACAACAGAATTGAAATTGAAGTTCTCAATTCCAATTCCAAAGTTTGAATTCCGTGTACCAAATAGAGCCTCAAAGTAATTTCTCCCTATGCAATCCATACCTAATTAGTACTCCCTCCGTCCCCCAGTTTTTGTCCACTTTCATTTTTACACACCATCCAATGCACTTTTATTCATTTTATCTTGTAATTTGTATATTAAAAAATTATAAAAATTATATATTAATAATCTATATGTTAAGACAAATCAAACAAGATCACACATGACTATATTTAGGCTTACACATTGAGAGAATTTGATGAGTCAAAGTGCTTAGATGAACAGTTCCAAAAGTCAAAAGTGGACAAAAACTGAGGGACGGAGGGAGTAATTCCTATAGATAGAAATAGATTTACCTAATTCTGGTTTCTGGGCTTCTGGCACGCCGCAAGCAGGCCACTGTACGCAACTGCCGCTTCCCCCGTCGTCCCGCGTCCCTGAGTCCGTCCGTCCGTCCGTCCGCCTCAGTCGACCAGTCCAGGCGTTCAGCTCCAAGTATTTCTTTTTGTTCTTTTATGGCTTTTCTTAGTTTATTTTTTCCTATAATAAAATGATATTAATCTGGATTGTCAATGAAATTATTGAGCGTGAGAAAAAAATAATCTAAAAGTGTAGAATGTAAAATTAAAAAAATAGAATCTGAAAATGAAAAATTTAAAATTTGATAGTTAAGCAAAGCTATAATGTACCCTTAAATTATATTCTTCCTTTATGGTTAAAAAAGATTAAGTAATTTAATGGCTTATTGTTTTTTAGAAATATGGGGAACTTTTTGAAACAAAAAGTTCTATCAACGTCCTACCATCTAGAGGCGGCAGTATGTGTTGACAGTCAACCAACATCTACATCTTCAATTCATCATACTGAATGATCTTCCATGACATCCTTCAGAAAGAATGACTTGCAAATTATCATCCTAATCAAAGAGATGAAATAAAGAGAAAATGATAGGAAATAAGATTAGATTTTTTTGCATTGCTTGGTTTGATCTATATGGTTAATGATTAGAGTATAATGTGAAAGCGGACAATTTGTTTGTGTTGTTACTTGTTTAGAGATCATTTTGGAAGATAGTGTGGGAGTGATGTTTTTGTTACAAACTTTTTTTTGCTTTTGTTACAGACTTACAAAAGGTTTTAATAGTTGGAATAAAACATAAAGATTTACCCTTCACAAGATAGCTATGGTGACGAATGTTGTTTGTGCATCTTACAAATATAAATATGATTGGAGGGAGTAAAAAATTGAAACTACAAGAAGCCACTTGCAATAAGGAATTTAGAATCGGAAGTGGGTTAAACAAATAACTTTCTCCCTTAAGAGCTCGGGATACATGTTGGAGTTCTCATAATAAAACAATAATGCACCTCATTGATTTATTTCCGTATGTTCTTGAAGTGCTTGAATATGTTGAAAATAAAGGCGACAAGGCTTTGCGTAAACATCCAGGAAATGGTCTTCAAAGTATATTTTTGTACATTTGAGTTTGTGCTCTATTGGCATTTAATGTTAAAGTTTTAGGAGTCACAAATTTACTATCACAAGCTATTCAAAGAAAAGATCAGTATATCTTGAATGTCATGTCATTAGTGCAATCAAAAAATGACAATGGTAGAGGTTTAGAACATCAGGTCCATTTGATTCACTTATGAAGAAAATGTAATCTGTATGTGATAAATATGATATTCAAATGTTGAACACGAAAGAGGATTTAATCCAAAAAGTCGAAGACAAAAGACTTGTTTCAAAAATCGAGAATATTATGAGTCTTTTTTATAATCAAGTTTTGGATTTGCAAAATAACAAGTTTAATGATCGTTTTGTTGATGTGAGTTCCGAATCGCTTATTTGTATGGCGGCTTTTGATCCACGTGACTCGTTTTATGATTTTGACAAATTTGAGATATTGAGGTTAGCTGAGATGTATCCAAATGATTTTAGCAATGTTGAAAGATTGAGTTTTGAACATGAGCTTCATCTCTATATTGATAATATGCAAGAGGACAAAAGATTTGGTAGTTTGATTGGTTTATGTGACTTTGCCAAATTGATGGTAAGTAAAAATAAAAATCTTACATTTCCTTAGTATAACTTATTGAAGCTAGGTTTTTCCACTTGCAACAACATGTGAGAGATGTTTTTCTAGAATTGGGGATGAGTTTCTGTATACGTGTCTACTTTGTGCCGTTGAAATTGAAAAAGAAGCATTTGTGAATGTTACGAATAAAGATGTAATTGATTGCTTCCAAAAGATGAAAACTCGTAGAGAACAATTATGAATGCAGTTTTTTTATCAATTGAAATAAACTTCTTTTTATTTTAGTTTATTTTACTTTCATTATATACTTTTGTGTTTTGTGTGATTTTCTTCAAACAAAAGTGTCTACAGAAGAAGAATTCGGAACAGGGTTTCAGAAATATGTTTCTACATAGTTGGTTGTATTTGTTGGATAATTAGTTATTGTTTGTATTATGAGGTGCTGCAAGCTGGAAGAACTAAACTTCAAGAATCTTCGCTATATAGATTTTTATATTTCAAGGAGAAGGTAGTGTTAAATGATGCAAAAAAAAGCCTTTCCATATATTCAAATTCAACATATTTTTAGGTGAATTTTAATTATTTAAAGACAGATTACTGAATTAAACAAATCGTACATATTGAACTCCCTTTAGTTTACATACTGTTTTGAACAAAATACGTGTATGAGTTCCACTCAACTATAATTCTTCCCTAATTCTTTTTTATTTTAGAGATAATTTGCAAAGGTACGAATTTTCTTGTTTAATGCTGGTCACTACACATGTTTCTGGGATTTCAAAAATTGTATTGTATGTGCTTTTGTTTCTTTTATTTTTGACAGTTTTGTTTAATATTTACTACGGAGTATTATGGAATACTCTAGTGAATTGTTTTTTATACTTCGTTTATAAATGCAGTAACAAGAGATTTTTCAAATGGGGAATGAAGCAGACACAAAAGAAGACAACCTTGTTTTGATTAAGCAAGGAGCTGAGGCTGTAAGTTTGATAACTATTCATTGTGATCCCATTTAGTTCTCTTAAAAAAGCTTTTATACACCTGTAGGATTTTCACTCAATTGGTATGGAAGGGGGGAAACCTCCATTTTCCTCTCTGTTTCCTCTTCTTTGGTTTTTACAATGACTATTTTGAAAAACAAATTTCTTTTAATTTTCAGAGAATCTTTGAGTCTACATTTGTAGGTCAGAGATCGATTGTCAAGGAACGGTTTTCAAAGAAATACAGACATCCAACTTTGGACTTGAAACTTACTCTAAGACGCTTAAATGCGGTTGGTCTCTCTAATTATTCAATTCCCGTATCAGATTGCTTGAAGTTGACTTTTATGCTTTTTTGTTTCCTTAACCAATCTAGGCATTTGGAACAGGAGGCTAGATGTATGACAAAAGCAAGACGACTAGGTGTAGCGACTCCTGTACTTTATGCAGTTGATTCTATTTTGCATTCCTTGACATTTGAGTATGTACAAGGGCCGTCCGTGAAAGATATCCTCCTTGGTTTTGGTTCTGGAGGTACCGATGAAAAAATGATGTCTGACATTGCATTTCAGATTGGTAATGCAATTGGCAAATTACATGATGGTGGCCTCATCCATGGTGATTTGACAACATCAAACATGCTTATACAAAGTGATTCCAATCAGCTGGTTTGTTTCTCATGCTATTTATTTACTCATAAATGTCTAAGCAGCAGTGGTTGGGGTGAGGTCTGAGTACCTCCCCGGAACCCCACTTTGTTGGTTCTTACTAGGTAGGTTGTCATTTTCGTCGTCTAAGCACCCATAGTATATTTGGTTAAAGTTGGTGAACTCAAGTTATCATTTTTGCCACTTAAAGATCATTAACTACGAACATTATTTTTTCGGCAGGTACTCATTGACTTTGGTCTAAGCTCCACATCAACACTTCCAGAAGATAAAGCAGTTGATTTGTATGTACTAGAACGTGCATTGCTTTCCATGCACTCTTCATGTGGAAATGTGGTGAGTGAGATCATTTCTTTCATATGGCTATTTATTTGTAGTATTATGTGCATTATTAATGAGCTTGAGGACGAACACAAGCACAATATAACAATTATTTTGAACTTTTGATTTACAATTACTCCCTCCATTTGATAATATTCTTCTTCATTTGACTTGGCACGGTTTTGAATAAAGTGGAATTTATGTGTTTGTGGTTTGTGTAGAGAAAAGATAAATGATAAGGGTCATTTAACTTTTTATTTGAATGAAAAGTGGATGAAAATTTTGGAACAACCCAAATAGGATAGTAGGAAGATAATTACGGGATGGAGGGAGTAGAAGTTTATAAATTATAACGAAAAGGTATTGTTGGGTTTGTTTCTGCTACATAAAAAAGTTCTTTGGTCTTTTGTGTTTTCATTATAAACCACAATATCTAGAGCTAAGTTGCTCTATAACGGTCAATCTCCTCAATTTTGAAAGAGTAATGCTAATAAGATTAACAGTTGTGGTTTCACAAGCTAAGGCGTTGAATGTTGATGTTATGGAAATTAAATATCTGGTTTCTGTACAATGTGAATAGATGGATCAGATCCTTGCTGCATACAAGAAGTCCTCTAAACAGTGGTGCTCGACATTAAATAAGCTAGCACAAGGTTTTGTAACCCTTCATCCTTTTTTAATCTGTTAGAAATCCTCTTATGATTATTTTTCCACTTCTAATTTCCAATAGCTCTCATATGATGTATATGATGTTTCTATAATTTCAGTACGCCAAAGAGGTAGAAAGCGTACCATGGTTGGCTGAGCGTTCAAGATTTCAGCTTGTGTGGTATGTTTTATGTCCTACGCCTTATTTAGCTCTTCATTTTGATTGTGTTCACTTTTAGGCTTTTTGGGTAGTTGTATATTTGGCTGTGGTAAGCGCTGTGTTGTTCACTTGACTAAATGATAGTATTGCGCATTGAATAGAATGTAGAAATCGTTGCATAATGTTATTGTTCGCTGTAACATATACTCCTTCCTCCCTAATCAACCCTTCCTTTTTGGATGTCCCAAAATTGAGTTTACACTTGGTCATTAGTGTACTTTTATATTAACAAAAGGACTTTGTAGCTCACAACATTTCACTCTTCTAAAACAATTCAACCACATTTTTTACCTATCAAAACTTCTCTTAAGGTCCATGAAGTTACACGCTAAACTGTATTTAGGAAGGAAGGGAGTATTTAATGATAGCAATTTATTAATTATGAAGCATAAATTAGGCAAATTTGTTGAATACAAAGACACAAATATGGTTTTGTAACTATCAAGTTTGAGTTTGAGTTTGGCACTACAAGTCTTATTTTGGTAAAAAACATTGGTAGTCTTATTTTGGTATATGAAGAATTTTTAGTCCCTAGTTAGGTATTCCTCCATACTACAATTAAAAGTTCAAAGACTATTGTTGAATTTGTGGCATACAATTCTCATCGGTCAAGTAGATGATCGGCATGCTAAGCTCAAGATGAACCTTCCTATTTGTTTGCATGCACGTACTCGATTCATTCCGAAAGGTTAATTGTTGGGTTTTCAGATCAATTGGTGGGTAATTGCCAAGGAAGAAGACCTTCAAACTTCGCTGGATGCATAAGTCTTGAAGATTTTCAAGAAATTTTCATCAGGTCGATAGACATTTGTATTGTATCCGCCGGCCTGATGGTTATGGTACACACTAAATTAAATTGACTATTTGATGACCTTTCTAACAATTATCCTCTTTCTACATTTGGAGACACAATTCTTGAAGGTGATTTTTACCATAGATTTTTTAAATCTTCTGTCATTGTGTATACCATACATTATTTTATTTGCACTATAAAGTAGGTGTGTTAATCATTGACAATTTCTATAAAATCATTCTTGTATCAATATCTAACATAATTTTTTGTTTAATTAATAGTCAAAGTTTATCAAATTTTATTGCAAAAAGTCGAAAATTGGGCAAATACTTAGATATAGATGTTAGTATAATTTTGTTGCTTATGAAAAAAAAGAAGGAATGAAATCTTATCCTCAGGTGACTAAGGTATATTGCATGCAAAATCTCGTGTTTTAAACCTTTGGACGTGTAACTACTTTACACTCCAAACACAAATTCGACGTTTCTTAACAAATCCGCCCCTGTATCTAATATATCCAATATCTCCTGCAAGCTGATCATCGGTAACGAGGAGCAACTTGGAGCACATGTGCTAGAATTGAGCTGATAGAATCAGTCTCGTGAGGATAACCTCTAGAAGTAGAGAGTCAGATTTTCATTGCATGACGAATGAACTTGAAATTACATTTGCTGAGTTTTTTTCTTGGTGAGAGTATTGACGATTGGAGCGAGGGCGAGGAGTTTATTTTTCTCCTTGTGGGCTGTTCTCTGCTTCTCTATCGCTTTCCATGTTCTTGATCTCAAGAAAAAACACAAACAAATGGAACTTTCTTGTTTTTTGATCACGTACCTGATTTTTTGGAAGAGAGAGATAATTGATTTTTTTGGAGAGCGGAATGTTTAACTTTGACTGATTTTATTCAGGAGTACACACATTCCATTAATATCTCTCTCAGTAAAATATTGAGCCCAAGATAAGGAAACAGTATTTATAATACCAACATAGCAATACAAAGTAATTTTACAATAAGAAACTAAAAACATTGCTTTTCATGTTAGTTTTTCCCCTTTTCATGTTTTTATGTACATGAGAAATGGTGTCTTCTTTTTTCTGATCTCAGTTAGGTCTTTTCTTAATCGTCCAATATATCGTCAAATCTCATCCCATATCCCGCTAAAATGTGAAAAAGGCTAGTTGAACATGTTTCCTTTTTTTTTGGATAGTGAGTGTGTTTTGTTAGTATGTTCTTGCTGCTCTATTTTAGACGGTGTAATGTTGCTGGAGAGTGTCGATATCTAAACCCTTCATCCTGGCCACCGATTCCACATGCCCCTTCAGCGTGTGAAGCTCCATGAGCCTGCAACAAAATGGATTCATTTTCTTTATTGTTTTTTAGAATAACAGATAGAATGTTAGATGTTGCATCTCTTATATTGTGTATATATACACAGATAGATGAGCACCTGGCAGCCTCGGCACGTTTCCTGGCTTGGTCTGCGATCTCAGACAATTCTCTATAGCTTTCCTCGTTGCATTGGTTAGGGGCCTGGGCAGTACTCAAACCATGAAGCGAGCGCTGGTCCACCGCCCATTTTGCCTCCCTCTCACCCCTTCCGTAGTCCTTCTTTGAGGTGAAAGCGGTCTTTGTTTCCAGCATTTACAAGTTGTAGAATGATCAGCGTTGAGGGATTATTAAGTAACTGCTCAACGGCAGCGCAAATGTATATTTTTTTTAAAGCCAAATGAACTCCTATGATGCTATACCTTGTTGTCCATCATGGATTTCCAGGCCTTTCCACTCAATGCTAATCGAATCATGAACTTGAGGATGTCAAGAGGGAAGTATGTGATTATGCTGTAAATCCAGATGGCGCCCGCCCATTCCCAGCCGATCCCCTGGATTCTTGCAAAGCTCCAGTTTGCATATACGGCGATAATTGTAGCCAGCTTTTTTTTTTAATAACAAAGAGAGACAAATTAGAAAACTCAACCAGGTAAGCCCAAAAGACCATTTCATGAATGGATGTTATTTAGAGGAAGTGAGAGAGACTCACAAATTGTGCTGCAAAAAAGGCAGCAACAAGCAGGACTCCAGGGCGCTCAACAAATGACCAGCTATGTGATCTCGTGACAAAGATGAGTGCTTGACTGATTATGCTAACTTGAAGATACACAGCGGCTGTCAACTCATACGGCGAATCTTTGATGGATTTTAGCTTGAAAGTGTCCTGATCATATAAAAAAATATTTTTTTACATGAGCTAGAGCTAGTTGTTAATTAAGGGTTTGGTAGTTAATGAAGTAAAATAAATGTAAAAGGACATTACGGTGAAGAAATCAGTATCAGATGCAAGGTAGAAGAAGATAACAGTCATGAGAGCCTGGTATGTCCCAAGGGTGACACCGGTGGCAAAGATCTCGTTGAGCTTCCACGAGTCAGGCATGCGTGAAGGCTTTACTCTATCCTTGGAGATTGTCATGATGGTTCCATCATTGAGAATGGCGATGATTAGGACCATGAATGGCGAGAAATCAAATTTCCATATAAGGGCAAGGAGTGTGAAACCCATGACAATACGTATCGTGATGGAAACTGCATAGATGGTGTAGTTTTTCATCCTCTGGAAGATGGCTCGGCTGGTCAAGACGGCGCTTACAATGACACTTAGGCCTGGCTGAGTCAGCACAATGTCTGATGCACTTCTTGCGGCGTCTGTAGCATCGGCCACTGCAATTCCAATGTCAGCCTTTTTCAATGCCGGGGCATCATTTACGCCGTCACCAGTCATCCCACAGATGTGTTTCATCTCTTGCAACTTCCTCACAATCTCATATTTGTGCTCTATATATAGATAAAAGGGGAGAAAAATAGCCAAAAAAAAAAAAACCCTTTGTTAGTTACTTCCATGTAAAAATCAAAATATGTTTACTGGCAGCACTTGGTTAGTTAGTTACCAGGGAAGACTCCAGCAAAGCCATCAGCCTTTTCAATGAGCTCGTCAATAGGGATTGAAGCAATGGATGGATCATTACTCTGCCCGAGAAGCGAGGAAGAGGGATACATATTGGTGCCCATACCGAGCCTTCGCCCTGTTTCTTTACCAATGGCAAGCTGATCACCAGTGATCATTTTCACATTGACACCAAGTTCAAGAGCCCTCTTTATCGTCTCGGCACTGTCATGTCTTGGAGGATCAAAAAGAGGCAACAGACCAACGAATTCCCATTGTGATCCAGCACTCTCCTTGTTCTTCTCCGGCACAGTCTAAAAGAAAGACATTTACACACATGACCACATTATTTTGACAGTAAGTGCTTTCAAAGCAAAACAACTCACTGTTTACTCTTTTTAATTTTATTTTTCACCTGTCTTGCTACGGCTAAAGAACGAAGGCCACGGTTGGCATAGTTGTCAATGACTCCATGGGCCCTCTTCAGAGCATCTCCTTTAAGATCGCAGAGTTCAATTATCTGGTAAAAGTTTAGGAAGGAGATCAGACTCTATGACTTTCCTATTTCAATACAAATCTATGTAAATGGATGTCATCAGATGTATGTATACCTGCTCAGGAGCACCCTTGCTAGCCCTGTGCCAGTTACCTTGACTATCAATATATGTAATTGCAGTGCGCTTATCGACCGGGTTGAAAGGCAGGAAATGAACTTCTTGAATGCCTTCTCTTGCCTGCCAAAAAAAAGAAGGGACAAGAAACAAAACATGTCAATCCTTCCACTAGTTAACAAGGAATTCGGAAGAAGAAAAACCAAGAAATGAAGGGTAGTAAAATAAATACTATGCATATACCTCCTTGGGATCGCTCAGCATGTTGACGATGCAAGCGTCTATGGCATCCTGGTTCTCAACTCTAGATGCCCTAGCAGCGAGCAACAAGACAACCTCTTTACTGGCGTCCTTAATGAAGACATCGATGAGGTTCTTGTCAACTGTGAGCTTGTTGAGGGTGAGGGTGCCGGTCTTGTCACTGCACAGCACATCCATACCTGCCATTTCTTCAATGGCAGTCATCCTCTTAGTGATGGCACCCTGCTGCGACAGCCTGTGAGACCCAATAGCCATAGTCACAGACAACACTGTGGGCATGGCAATTGGGATCCCCCCAATGAGTAACACAAGCAGATTGTCTATGCCCTCCCTATAGTTCCTGTGCTGTACTGGGAACATCACCACAATCTCAATCAATACTCCGATGCCAATTGAGCAGATACAGAAATTCCCAATGGCAGTCAACACCTTAAAAGAGAGAAAAAAATAATATCAGAGGAACGCATGGATGCCCAATTGAACTTGTTTGAAAATCAGAGGAATTAATTAATTTGGGTCAAATGTGAAAAATCACGGGAACAATTCAATGTATAAACAAGAAGTAATGAAGTAACCAACCTTCTGGAAGTGACCAACGTTATTAGTGGCGTCGACAAGATGAGCAGCCTTTCCGAAGAAGGTGTGGACGCCGGTGGCGATGACGACGGCCTCGAGCTCACCCTGCTTGACGGTGGATCCGGAGAAGGCGACATCGCCGGGGCTCTTAGTGACGGGCAAGGACTCGCCGGTGAGAGCAGCCTGGTCGATCTTCAGGGAGTCCCCTTCGAGGAGGCGGGCGTCGGCCGGAACGATGTCCCCGAGCTTGATGCTGATGATGTCGCCGGGGACTAGGATTGCGGCGTCCCGCTCGCTCCAGTTCCCCCCTCTCAGCACCTTTGTTTTCGGCGCCAGATTCGCCATCAGAGCCGCCGCCGCGTTTCCAGCGTTGTCTTCTTCGATGTAACTAATTGTGGAGTTTATGATGAGCAGCACTACGATTCCTACGAAATCTTGCCAGTCCGCGCCCTTCCCCTGTCAGTCAGCCCCCCGCGCTTAATTTTATTTGGAATATCACATAATAGGAACCTTTCCTTGTAATATTGTTTTCCTTGCACTATTATTACCATAATTGTTTTCATACAATGATTAAAATTGTCTCATGTAACTGCTATAAATATGGATTTAATACTCCCTTCGTCCCCCCAGAGTATTTGTCCACTTTCATTTTTACACACCATTCAATGCATTTCTTTAATCCATTTTATCTTGTAATTTGTATATTAAAAAATTATAGAAATTATATATTAATAATATATATGTTAAGACAAATCAAACAAGATCACACATGACTATATCTAGGCTTACACATTGAGAGAGTTTGATGAGTGAAAATGCTTAGATGAACAGTTCCAAAAGTCAAAAGTGGACAAAAACTGGGAGACGGAGGGAGTATTCAATATGAATAATTATTATCAAATTTAATTATTACTCGTATTTATTTAGTTCAAAATCAAGAAAAATGAATATTTTCTTTCATATTGAAAAAAATGATATTGAAGTTATAAAAAAATCGCCTAAAATAAAAGTTAAAAACATAGAAAATTTTTAAAATAAGTGTTCTATTTGTATATTCCAAAATAAAAGTTTGCATTGTGGAGAATCCGACATTGTATTGTTGTATATTTGTATTGCAGAGTATTTTTTGGTATAATATGTTTGCATTATAACTCTTATATATATATATATATATGTATATGTATAGACGGAGCTAGTATATAAATTAAACTCACTCCCCCATTAGCCAAGGCAATGGCCATAATGGCAGCGGCCTCCATGACCCAGGAGAGAGGGTTCCACATGAAGCCGAGGAACTTGAGGAGTTTGCTGTCCTTGATCTCCTCCAGCTTGTTCGCCCCAAATATGACCAGCCTTTCCTCCCCCTCTCCCTCCGTCAGCCCCTCTCTCTTGCATTTCAGCCTCTCCAACACCTCCTCCATTCCAATGTTTTCCTGCGCCGCCACGCCAACTCCATAAGCATATTAATTAATTCGTCCAAATTAAACGCATACGCAGTATTTATTTATGAGAAATTTACCTAAATAGGACTAAAACATAATGACTTTCCGAATATAGGACCATATGTTTTTATTTCTGAATGTAGGACTTTTGGTCATTATTCAAGTAAATGCTCATCATTTCTGAACATTATTTCTCCCACTAGACATTATTAAGTCCTATTTAGGAAATAAAAAAGTTTAAGTCCTACATTAGAAAAATCATTATGTTTTTGTCCTATTTAGTGCAAATTTCACTTTATTTATTTATCCCAATTTTATATTAATTAATTAACTCCGAATCTCCGATCCTCAAACCTTCCTCAGTGACATATTTGATACTCCCTCCGTCCCTGAAAACATTTTTCCTTTCTTTTTTCATTCGTCCCAAAAAACACTTCTAATTTTTTTAAAAAGTCACTTTTACCGTTTACTTTTTCATACTTTACCTATCACATCATATCTTTTTACTAATAAAATATCCATCAAATCATACTTTTACCCATCACATCAAAGGACATTTTTGGAAATTCAATACCAAAATACACTCTCCTTAAATCCCTCTTCATAATCAAAACTCCCATGTTTTCCGGGAAGGAGGGAGTATTTCCCATGCATGCATTTTTACGCTACAAGTTATTACGGAGTACATATTTCCTATGCATCCATGATTATTTGTCTAATTTTTACTTTTTGTACTTGATCATTTTCAATCTATAATCCATAATTGAATAAAATATATAGTTTATATTAATTATATAAAATAATATTTTCTGAAATGAATCTAATGAAATTATTTTTGAATCAATATCTAATATCACTTTTATCGATCAATTAAATTTGTGGTCAAAATTTGTCAAATGTTGATTGTAAAAATCTAAAGGGTAAAGCTATTTGTACCCCATGTTTTGTACCCCACTTTGTACCCCTTAGCTTTGCACCAACACTTTGTGTTGGCGTAAAACTAATTTTTGTTAATGCACCAACACTTTGTGTCTGTGTAAATTTTTGTTAACGCACCAACACTTGTGTCGGTGTAAACCATCAAAATGTTTGTGTATAACTGCGGTGTACAAATGAGGTACAATTTGTGGTGTAAGTGTATCATAACCCAAATCTAAAATAGACAAATAACCAAGGACGGAAGGTGTAAATAAATATTCCCTTCATTTCATTTCTTTATTTTAGGTGTTAACTTTAGCAGTCAACTTTTTATACCTTTCACCATAATTTATGGAAAAAAATTAAATATATTGTACTATCTATGTCCCAATTTAATATTCTTCATTTGACTTTGCACGGAGTTTGAGAAGAGTAAAAGTATGTGGTATAAAGTGATGTAGAAGATATATAGAAAAAAAAGTGAATTACCACGAAAGCTTTCCAGAAAATGAAAGAGAAAGATTAATTTGAGACAACCAAAAAATGTACTATAAGAAAGATCAATTTGAAAAAAAGAAACCTATAAGATTTCTTTTAATATTTGAAACCTATACTCCCTCATTCCCTAAAAGATTTTTTCTTCCAAACATGACCTTTTCACTTTCATTAAAAAGTCATTTTACGGGGTTTATTTTTGTATTTCTATACATTTAAAAAAAAGAAACTTACAAGATCAACTTGCTCATTTTGAATATCTTGGAGGGATATGTTGGAAGCCATGAGTGTGGCCGAAATGAAGATCGAGCAAGAACAACAGAATAATCTAAAGTATAGTGATCGAGGCCAAATAAAAAATAAATCTTTAATAAAGATGGAAGGAAGGAAGAAGAGGGCAAATCAAATCTACCCAATCTTCCTTAATTGGCTACCTTCTCTATTAGTAATATACTTTTTTTTTTGAATTTTTTATTATTGATAAAATTATCTCTTTCTCTTCGTTTCAGACCATTAAGGTCTTCAAAGAGAGAAAAGAGATTAGAGTTGTTGTAGGCCTCAGAGAGTTTCAGAGTTCAATGGCCCCTTTTATATGTCATGGTAGGATGAATTGGAAGTCCTCACATTCACCATTATCTATAAATCCATTTATTCATTTTGTGGTTTTCCTTCACTCAATGACCCCAAGAAAATAGGGAGCAGGTTTAATTTCTGGCTTCTTGATGACCTCCGTATTAAATGGGCTACCGTAATTGTTCGAATAGCGTCTGGATGTTTATGTTAGACAACCAATGTTTACCTTTCTTGAGAAACTATTTTCATCCAATAAATACTCTCGGTCCCAAAGTTCAAAAAAAATGAAATTGCGTGAGATTAAATGATGTAGAGTAGGAAAAAATATTAGTCACAAGATCTTTTTTAAAAGTAGAAGTGTGATGAGCATTTGGGATGTCCCAAAAAAAACTATTGAAGTTGGTACACAGAGAGTATAACTTTTAAAATTTATTTTAAAACTAAAAGCATTTTTTGATGAACTCATTAGATATAAGTTCTGAATTCTGATATCTCCTGATATTTAAAACTTTTGGGTTCTGTTTGGTACACAGAATTCAAGATATGTTATTGGAATTAAGACTCCAATTCTAATTTTGTTCTTTGGTAGTATAAAAAACAAGGGTCCGTTTGATATATGGAATTGACGGAATTGAAATTGAATTTAAAAATGAAATTCTATATAATTGATTTGGATGAAATTAAGTTCTCCAATTTCAATTCATATTTGGCACTATCAAATCCAAATCTATATTTTTGTGCTACCAAACAGTTGAATTGGAACTATTGTCCTGAATTTTAATTTCATAATTTAAATCCCGTATACCAAACCGAGCGTAAGTAAATTTAGAATTGAATTCTAAGTCCAAATTTTCTAATCCATAGTACAAGAAAAGAATTAGAAATCTAAAATTTGAATATAACAAGCCAAAATCAAATCACCCCGACCCTTTTTGTGTTAAAACAAAGAAAGTGTTCTTATAAATTAATAACTAAAAATTTAAATTTTAAACTTTTAAAATAAAAAACTAATATTAAAAATTAAAGCTAAAAATTAAATTATAAATAGAAATTGAAAATTTGACACTTAAAATTGATATTCTAAAATTTAAATTTTAAAAATTAAATTTAAATATATAAAATTTAAAATTTAAAATTTACAACTGAAAATTTAAAATTTAAGATTTAAGAATTAAAATTTAAATATTAAAATTTGAAATTTTAAAATTTAAAAATTATAAATTGAAAAATTCAAATTCTTAATTTAAAATTTAAATTTTAAAACTTTGAAATTAAAAGTTTAAAACATAAAATTTAAAATATAAAATATAAGATTTAAATTTAAAAATTCCACATCTCTCTCATTGGAGGCGCAAAACACAATCCCATAATCCGGTTTTTTTATGTTACTCTCATCACCTTTCAACCATTCGTGTTCAAATAATTCAAACAAAAATGTAGCTAAGAGATAGAGTAAGTTCTATAAAGATATCTTTGATACATAGAATTGAAATTCAATTCTATGGAGTTGAGTTCTAATTCAATTCGAAATCTTCTGTTTGATATAACTAAGGAATTGATATAAAATTATATTGTAATTGCAAATTCTTTGTTTGGTAACACAAAGTTGTAAATAGAATTGATATGGAATTGTGTTCTGCGATTTCTTGCAATAGAGTAATTCAAAACTAAATCTTTGCTCTTTTCAGACCTCATTCAAACCCTAATTGTATTAGCGAAATGTTAAAAATCTAAAATTTAAATATTAAATTGTAAAATTTTAAAATTAAAAATAAAAAATACAAACTAAAAAATTGAGAGCGAGAAATTGATAGTGTACCATTACATTTTTTTAATAAAAAATCAAATTTTGAAAATTTTAAAACAACAAAACCTTATTCCAATAGATGGGATCGGGAGCATAGATCGAACGACATCATTGTGCTTTATCATGCAACAAATAATTTCAAAAAATGAAAAAATTAACTCAAAAAATTTTAATTTTCATTTGTTTGCACAAAATAAGTTTTTTCAAAAAAAATATCTATTTAGTGACTGTACCTTCTTAACAGTGACCAAAATTCCTACAAAGACGCAAAGATTGACTTGTTACGTGTGACAGTGAAAAGCAAGATTATTTTTAAAATACCGCAAAAAGTGAAATCATTTTAGCTATTTTTCCCTTTATTGGTTTATACAAAGAGTACAATGCCACAGAATGAGACAAAATACTTGTCTCTAGTTTGTCCTGACCAAATTGCGTCATATGGCCCGCTGAGCTTTCCGGTTTAACTTTGTATGTCATCAACTTCTTGCCATGGTTGCCATGGCAAGTCTGCAGGGGTCTAATGCATTTGTTCAAAAAATGCAATAAGCAAACAACCTGCATTTTTCTAGTTACTCCCTTTGTCTCATTTTATAACGCCTATTTCGGTTTACGATGTTTGACTGAAGTTATTTTTAAATCATTTTATATAAAAAATGGTATAGAGTTAAAAAATAAAAATTACATATCAAAATACTACATCAAAAGATCTACAAAACTAGTAGTGACAACAATATTTTATTTTATCAAATTGCTAACGAAAATAGAAAAAGAAAGTGAATGAAGTTTGACTCTGTGAATAGTAAACATTCATTATAATTTGGAACAGAAGGAGTACATCATTTCCAAGCAGAAATGAGATTTTAAGGACCAAGAAATGTGGCTAACAAGCTTGTTCATGCAACGTCAATACAAATTCATCATTCCATAGAATCAGTCTCAAAATAGTTATTATGCGAGTAATTAGCTATAACAAAGTGTAACGCCATTCTGTCAAAACAATGTAAAATTGTATTCTCACTAGAACCATAACGCACAAAGCAGGGTAGGGTACTTCAGTTCCAAGAAGAAGTTCGCGAAATCCCTGCAAGCACAAAATCCTTTTTGACACTTTAATGGCGAACTCGTAAAACTTGGTGCTACGAGGAGGGTGGTTACAACCTGCAGTTAGCTTCGCTTTTCCTTCACCCAGTCAACAAAATTGTCAAGAACAACTGGCCATGCTTGGTCCGTATCATAGTCTTTGAGGTCCGGGAAGCTTATCTACAAATTTTAAAAGCACGCGCAAAAACATTATTCACAAAAAAATATTCAAAAAACAGTTCATTAAAAAACCCAGTTTTAAGAATGTGCACTATAGGACAGAGCAACAATAAGAAGTACCTCTTGGCAAAACCGGAGAAAATTCGTCCATTGATCCATATTGAGTACCTTATAATCAGTTTGACTCTGGCATTCCCAAAAAAAATAAAAATAAATAACTCCAAGTATTTGATTGGATTATCAAAAAAGATATACTAGAGTACGTATAAAGTACGATGTTCCCTAGTCTGCAGTATGCGGACCATTATAATGAAGAAACATAAGATCCATAATCATGCCATGATTCCTGCGATCCTATACTTGCTACAATTTACAGTTAGGCATCATGTCCATTCCTGGGATTTGTAATTCAATCTTATCTTTCAAGTCAATAGCTTCAGAAGATGGGGAGAGATGTAATGGATACAACCTTAAGATATTCAGTGAATGAGTCAACTTGAGCCCGGAACTGTGATCCAAGAATAAGATCTATCAATATACATATGCTGTCGATATCTAAGCATTTTTGTTTGTCTTCTGAAAAAGAGAAGGCACACAAATTAAAGTCTAGAGAAAGAACTACTATATGATGTGAGACAAAATACAATTGGGTAAAACCTGTACACAAATTGAAAATTTTCCTGGCTTACCTGTTAGGCAGTAGCGAAATGCAAAAGTGTAAAAATCCTCAAAATTTGCAGGCATCATGACCTATTTTTAAAATGAAGCACATTATATAAAAGAATGTATGAATCATGTATTGTACAAAGAAAAATAGCTCAAAAGGTACCTCGGCTTCCAATTTGGGTAGAGCTTTCTTTAATTTAGTAATGGAATCAGCTTGAAGACCTTTCAAACCTAAGTGCCACTCATCCTGAGAAATTAATGTTTCAAGTCAAACAAAAGCTATTTATCAAAGAGAACTCGAGAGCAAGCAATACTAACAATAAAAACATGAAGATATATAGATACAAAAGACTAAAGAAGCATTTGACTTTTACATGTCAGTCACTCTAATGTGATGCTAATGCATTTTGAAAAGCTAACCGCATGGTACTTTACCTGAGAGAAATATCCCTGTTTTTTTGCCTTCATTTTCCTGAGAATCGTAGGACCGTTGCGTGTAAGGAAAATATAGCCAAATAAATATCACATGCACAGACACCCATAAAACGACAACTGACATACCAAGCAAGCATCAAAATCCTGACATCAGTATGATCTACCCCGAGATCAGAGCACAATGCCTCAACACCATCTGGACTGTTCAAAGAGAAAAAATGATTTATTCAACAAAAAGTTTAAGAAAACCAGCAATGACAATAAAAACTAAACAAAGTAAACCAGGACTCCAAAAACAAAACAAAAAAACAAAAGAAAAACAAAAAGCAAAATGAAGATCAAGAACAAAAGAAAATCATAGCTTATCAAAACTGCTACATGTGTATCCTTCACGCTATTAAACATTACTTAAATATATTGTTGGCTATAAAAACGCAAACATAATGCAACACTAGCAGCAGCAAACCCAGTGTAGTCCCACAAGTGGACAAAGCATAATATTGGTAAATTGCAGCTTTGTTTGGTTTGGCAACTACAGGATTAGCTCTAGACACAATAATTTTAGTGAGGTCCTTAATTTTTGGTGTACCTTCATGCATTATTACAAATGTTTCTTGTAGTGGAGAGAATTATAGAGATTCTTTATAGTTTATACTCTAAACACGAGACATATATATGTAATTTTCGTAATGAAATCACATGGTACTTTAGAGAGAGAGAGAGTGTGTGTGTGTGTGTACGCGCGTGCAGGAACTGTGAAGTATGTAACTCAAAAAGATCCTTAATAGTTAATGCCGAGAGAACACAATCATTTATCATCTACTCGATAAAATAAAGCAGTACTTACTGAATTAGTAATACTCACTATAAACATAGAAATTTTTAAAAAGTAGAATTGTTTTAATGGTTAAAACTCACAAATACATGAAGTGTGCTTATAAGTTATAGTATTGGAGACCATCAATTTTCCATAATAATTATATTTGGCTAATGTCAGAGAATAAGATTAACTTGTAAGGAAATAATCAATATCATCATCAGCCCAAATAGGGGTAATAAAAAAGATACAACCACAGGAGAATATACAATGAGTTAGGAAAGAAAGTGCTTACTCAATTGAACCAAGCGACTGGTTGGCATATAAACTGAAAAGGTTGTCTATGGACTGCGTTACTTTCGATACCACTTTGCCTTTGCTCGAGGCTAAACTACATTGTGAGATGTCGTGAGAAAGCAACTTTCAAATAGATATATGGTTTTAATGAAGGTTTTCCAACAAATTTGAACTACATATACGCATTTTAAAAGCTAACATGAATCTATATCATTTCTGTAATCTGGATATTTGATTAAAAATCAAATATTTCAAGAAAATAGCTAAACTAGAAGGGTGTTTGATACTTTCAAATGCAATGGAATATTGGATGTCTGTTGGGGCAATAAAATGTCATACATGGAGTTTCCACGTTGTACCAGCATGATCTCTACAGATGAGTGATATCAAAAAGGCGACACACTTTCTGATTTAGTGTTAAATTTGAAACAGAAAGAAATAAAATAACTTTTACATCAAATGCCGACAAGTGTGATAGCAGAATTCAATGAACAATCACCGAACAAGTAACAACATATGTATAAGAGTACAAGGAGTGAGGTGGGGATTAAAATCAATGTATAGCAAGTTCATCACAAATATTTAAAGAAAACTACAGGATTCTAATTCCGGAAATAATTGTCAATACAGTTTTCCCTCGTATAATCATAAGATCCAACATTTCAAATGTTTGACAATCAGAACAACCATCACGAATTCACGACTAGAGTGTTAAAACGTTTGACCCTAAAAATCTTATCCAAAAAGTCTGGGCGTAAGCCCAATCTGATCCAATATAAAATTTCGCTCTCTTTAAAAAAGCAATTACCACTCTCCAAGGCGCATCCAGCAAATATAAAAACATTATCACAATTACGAAAAAAATTAAACAATCATGTGTGCCGAAAACATAACAGTAAAAAGAGGCGAATACCGGAGCGAACAGAATCGACTTTGAGAGACTTGACAGGGGCAGATTTGGTCGGATTCGCTTTTCTTTTGGAAGCGCGAGGAGGCATTGTTCGTGCCTGCAAGTTTTGTTCCTGTTTCTTAATTGGGTTTCTGGGGAGGGTTTTGAAATGATGCAGAAATAGAACGGTCTATTTTATACGTTGGATCTGCGTCTAACTCACTTACTCTGCGGAAGTTGATGATTTGATTTTGCTCAAATTCTATGATTTGCCTATGAAATGAAATGTGGATTCAACCATGGTAGACTTACACCAAAAATTATATATCTCAAACTTACATTAAAGATATATGGAATACATCAACATTTTGATGGCTCACACTGACACAAAGTGTTGGTACGTTAACAAAAATTTACACTGACACAAAGTGTTGGTGCATTAACAAAAATTAGCATTACACCAACACAAAATGTTGGTGCACATCTGCAGTGTACAAATGAGATACAAATTCGATCCAAATAGCTTTATCCATGTGGATTTCCCACATAGGGAGTACTTTTCGGGGTTGAGAGATATCTATTTCTTCTTGTAAAAAGTTTAATGCTTTCATTATTTTTCTATGAGAATTTGGATGGCTTTGTATTTGATTTGATATTAAATTCAAATATTCAGTTCGTATTCAAGTCCTGTCATAATATATAAATTTTGAATTTTTTAATGTTTTATAGCTTCAAAAATCATTACCCCACAAATTACCTATATACACCACCCATTCACCAAAACTGATCCTATTTTGACTAATGAGAAAAATAAGGAGTGTATGTTTGTTGTTGACTTTCCAACTTTGTCCTTGATGTCATAGGTAAAAGCAAAATGTTATAAGTAGATTATTAGTTAAAAATTATGATGTAATATGCTGGGTAGGAATTAGTATGGATAAAAGTAGTTTTTAATAGAAAATAGAGGTATTTTGGTAAGGAAAAAAATGAAAGAGGAACCGTTTTAGTTAACGGAGGGAGTACGTTGTACTAAAAATGGCATGTCCAAAATAACAACACAGTTAAATAGATCCCACGAGAATAGGGTTTGCGTAGGATGTGCGTACATGCAAACCTTGCCCCTATATATTATGCTCTATATTTGTTATGGAGTACTTTGTATATTATGCTCTGTATTTATTATGAAGCAGATATATTGTGTATAAACTTTTACAAGGTATTTTAATTCGAATATATTTGTTAACATATTGAATAGAATACATAAACATTCGTATCTGTATTCATTTTCTTTCTAGTTCGAATAAATATTTATATTCTAATTCGTATTCATTTTTTCAAATATGAATCATTGAATTCGAATACGAATCACAAAAGTCAAATTAGAAAGTATAGCGCGTTTGTCGTGTTGTGTTTGGTCGGTTTTGTTCCCTTTTCGGGTCGCACTCAATTCATGCACTTGACTTGGTTTTGGTGTTCGAGCTTGTTCGTGCATTATCCCTCTTCAGGTGGTTTACATTTGCGTTTTGGTTCTACGTTCTTGACACTCGTCCAATGCTTCATCCTCAAAATCCACAACCGCTTCACCGTCGACTAACCCTGAATCTCATTTACCCTCGGGCCGATGTTCTTCCTTCAATTTTAAAGATCAGCGACTTCTTAAAAAAATCTCTCAAGTCATCTTTCTTTCTTCTCAAAATCAAGGCGAAAATATGATAGTTATTTCTCTTCAATTCACCACATCATGAATCTCAGATCCAAATCTTTTTTTCCTCACCAATTCTTAATCTACCTTTTCTCTCTCTCAAATCACTCATTATTCTTATCATCAATCACCCTTCTCTTTCTCTTCTGTTGAACCAATAAAAATCCAAAACAAAGCAGCACAAAAGCAAAGCTAAGAGAAAAAGTAGTGAAAGATGAAAGAATACCTCTACAGCTCACCCCTTCAAGAAAGAAACAGGGCATTGCCCGGATCCAAAAGAAATACAAAGAATGTCAAAGATCTTCATAATTCAGTCAAACAGGCACCTCCAATAGCCTTCTCTTCTTCTTGTTCTTCGTCGTCAGCAGCTACATGCGCACGTCAATTTCTCTTTGTTAGAATAGGTGTCCTTCACTAGAAGGGGGGGGTGAATAGTGAGGCACGAGAATGTTTATAATGTATTTTATGTAGAAACCAATTAAGTATAAAAACTTAAAAACCACTTCATTAAGGTAAAAACCACTGCAAGCCAAGTTTATGTCGTTTCACATGGTTTTCACCAAAAGACCAAAGACGAAAGGTGGTTTTTAACATGTTTTTGTTGGAGAATTGTTTGGATATGCCTGAAGTAAAAACCAATTATAAAATATTAAAAAACACTTGATTAATTTGGACGCCAAAAACCAACGCCGATAACCAGCGCCGAATGCCGATAACCAACGCCAAAAAACAAAGGTTATGATTTTTGAAAACTAATCATTTGGAAAACCTTTAAATGTGTTCAGAATCAAAAACCAAAGATAAAAGCCCAAAAACCATTTGGCTAAAATCAATGCCAATAACCAATGCCGAAAACCAAACGCCATAGCCGAACGCCGATAACCGATGGTTGTGGTTTTGGTTGGGCAAGAACCAGGGGATTTAGAAACTTAAAATCATTTATGAAAACACTCATTTGATGCATGAAAAACATATTTTGTTTTGAGACATGACTTAGAGAAATTGAATGAACTTGTTACAATAAAAACCTAAGAATTTAGACAATGTCTTCAAAACGCCAGTGTCGCCATCTTTAGAAACGTCAATGTCTTTCTTGTGCTTTTTGTTCTTTTTTCTATCTCTTTGAATCTTTTCATTTTGTTCCATGTTCGCGACGGTTTGTCAATATCAAAACCTAAACGGAAACAAACATTGTCATTAGCAAAACGTCAAAGTGAAAATGTTTTCCAACACTCTCTTCTTCAATGATGTTTGCAACTACCAGTGCACGTCAGACTTCTCTTTTATTCAACGATGTCAGCAGCCACGGTGAACGTCAGACTTCTCTCTTCTCAAAGTTTCTAGGTTCTAGCTAGTCTCCAAGCTTCCTCTTGTTTCAGCCAGAGTTCAGCTTGAGGGGGATGTTAGACAATAATAATAGTATTACTTGTGATAGTATTGGTTCTGGTAGTGTTTCATTAGTAATCAGCTTTCTAATCCTATTTGTAGTAGATGTTGTATGTTAGTTAGTTTTCATAATTTATTCCTAGTTGTGTTAGAAATTTCTCCTATATATGTAAGTTCGTGGGGCGCAGCGGATAACACCAAACACAAGGTATGCAAACAAAACAATCAACTATGTTGTAGAGAATATGTTGCAGCACTGTCACAGTAACAGATGACGGACAGTGTGCTATAACACTTCTCTGTCACAAGCACACACGTAGAAAATAAAGTAAAAACAACAAGCAAGACACCAGAATTGTTCACGCAGTTCGGAGCAAATTCTCCTACGTCTGCAAGGCCCACGTCCGTGTAATAGCCCTTCCACTAAATCACCGTATGAATTACACAAACAATCACAACAGAACCTTCTAATGTATTGATTTGTCTACTTACGAATGACTTGACGACAAACTCGGTTTGCGTCTATCTCCACGGCTTGTTACACCTTCTCAAAGATCTTCTTCAAGGACGTAGATTCCAATACACCTTCAAATAAAGATTCTCCTTGATCTACTAAAATATGCAGGCTGATCCGAAGCTCATAAATCAAGATTGAACCGTTAGAATTCAATCTCCACCGTTCAGATTGAAGCTTCACGAGTCCTTAGACTCCTCCTAAAATTTCAGCACGATCGGACAAGATTTGGTACTCCAACCAACAAGAAAACCAGGGCTGCGTTTTCTGCAAAAAATCAGCAAGGATGTGTAGATTGTAACTTTGATAACAGAAGATCCGTAACTCCGATTGACGTGAAATTTTAACTCGTTGAAGCTCTATGTGTTGAGAACACCCTCTGAAAATTTCAGCAAAATCCAACGGTCGGATCTCCGGCGATGATCAAATCTGTGCGGCTGTCCAGAAACTTTGCACTGTCTAATTTTGCACCTTGTTTTTCTTTTTGATCGAACTTGATTCAGGTTCTTCGTAGTTTTGCATGTCCAAAACCCTAAGGGAGGGTGAAGATAATATATAGAGCATATTAACCTTGTTAGAGTGTGCTTAGGAGTCTCAACCATGCCTTCCTCCTCAAGAATAGTAAACCAAGTAGGATTAGACTTCTTTCTTCAAGCTCTTTCCTCTTTCTCTTTCTTCACATGCTAGAACTCTAAGTCTAAATAAAATATCTAAAATAATTCTAGGTAAATCTATTCGTTTGTCAAAAAATAATGCGAACACAATATGGAACTAACAATATATACTTTATCATGTACTCCATAATTCAATGAAGCAATATTATTATTCCAATATTTCAATATTGATGTTAGTATTACAACATCTCAATAACTTTTATTATTTGTATGCCTTTGATATTATACAATTTTTTATTTAATTTTGAGCAAAATAATTTTTTTTATTTTTATGTCAAATTTTAAGTAAAATAATTTTAAAATTGAGAAAATTTTACATGTTGTTGGGAGAATGATATTTAGTGTGGGGTAGGAGTAATAAGTTCTACGTTTAATAATTGTTGATAGACTTGATACTCCGTATCTCATATCCCTAAACATTGATGCAGCCACATTTGATGGCCATCAGAAGTCTAAACCAATCCACTAGAGTCATAAAATAGAGATTAAATTATTCGATAAAGGTATTTGTACCCCATGAATTTATATTTCATTTTGTACATCATAGGGAAGCATCAATATTTTGTGTTGGTATAGTATAATGCTAGTTTTTGTTAACGCACCAACACTTTGTATCAGTGTAAATTTTTGTTAACGCACTAACACTTTGTGTCAGTGTGAATCATCCAAATGTTGGTGCATACTTTTGGTGTACAGATGTGGCACAAATTTTGGAGTACGTGTAGCATGCTCCCAAATTATTACTTGTAGCTAGGTTTCATGGTGAACTTTCATACGGAGTATATGATAAATACTCCCTCCGTCCTATAATGATCTTCCCGGTTCGCAAAACGAAGAAAAATCCCAAATTTTTCCAATCTATTTTATTTAAATATTGGTATAGAAATAAAAAATAAAACATACATATTTAAAACCTACACCAAAAGTTCAACAAAACAAGTGGTGACAAGAATATTTTATTTTATCATATAGGCCATGAAAAAACACAAATAAATATAAATTCCCGTGAAGTTGGAATAGTGCTCTGGGAAGATCATTATAGGACGGAGGGAGTAAGTATTTTTAAGTATTGAAATAAATATATTTTAAAATTAAAAATATACATAACAAGATCCAAGTGTAGCTTAGATCTACCATAGAACCTCTCAAAGTAGAGATTAGTACAAGGATGGACCAATTTTTTTCTTAAAATCGATCCAAACTACCCCATCTTTATAAAATGTTGTGAGTACTTTTTAGTGTTTAAGAAAACTAAGGGGCTGTTTGTTTCAGCCTCTTAATGGTTCAGATGTCTGAATGGTTCAGCACTTAATGGTTCAGACTGTTTGTTTCAGCCTCTTAATGGTTCAAATGTCTGAATGGTTAAGAGATTTGCCTCTGAATGGTTAAGTATTATACAGAGTCTGAACGGTTAAGACCTCTTATCTGAATTGATCAGACATTTGCCTCTGAATAGTTAAGCAATATACTAGCTCTTAATGGTTCAGACCTCTTACTGGTTCAGCACTTAATGGTTCAGACCTCTTACTGGTTCAGCACTTACCGATTCAGAAGTTGCCAAATAGCCCCTAAAACTTATGTACTCCTTCCATTCCATATTAACGGACCATTATCACTTCTTTGATACATTGAAAAATGAATGAATGTAGACATATTGTATGTTAACATTCATTCATTTTTTAATGTATCAAGAAAATCATAATGGACATTTAATATGGAATGAGGTGAGCAAATGATACTTGTCTTTTGTTTTTATCTAATTTGTTCAACTCCCATTCTTCCACACTTCATTGATTTTTATGAAGTATTAATGCATTATACATGTATTTTTTTGAGATAAAAATAAGATACAACCAAAACAAGCATAATTTCTTTTAGATATAAACATACTTTAGACCTGTATATCTGAATTTGTTATGACTTATTTTAAAATTTGAAAAACAATATGAAGTATTAAGTTGTATATTAATATATAAGATAAATGTAAATCTATTAAAACAATATGCTAAAGAATAGAATTATTTATATACTCGGGTACAAGTTATATTTTAATGTTATATTGAAAAACTGATGCTAGTTTTATCCCGTTCTAAACTTTTTTTAAAAAGATAATTATTTTGGATTCAATCTAGTTCTTCCCCTAGTTTAGAGAACCAAATTAGACTACTAATCCAAGACTAGACGAGTCCAAAAAACTACTTGGGTCCCAATCACTTCGGGTCGATTTTTTCTGTCCTAGTCTATTTGCTCATCTATAGCTTAAAGCTTCCAGTAAGGTAAAAGTCGGTAGACATTACGCAATTGGCAAGATAAAGAGTACCAAAAAATTAAGATTTGAATTCGATTTCTGCCAACTACCCAATAGGCAACTATGCTAAGCATATGTATGTGTAAGTACTAAGTGCAAGCTTTATTCATTGATACCAATCTAGGATCAAAATCTAATTTACTTCCTCTCAATAAGTCTATTTGCTAATCTATAAGCTTCTAGTAAGAAGAAAAAGTCAGAAAACCATCACTCCGTGTTGAGTTTTTGTTTGTCAAATCCATTAAATAGACTTGTTATTTTTAGGTAAACATATAACCACCCAGATATAAATATGCCCCGGCTATAAATTAAACGTCCCTAAACAATTCAAACACACAAAGAATTATGTCGGGTCCAAACGTTAATCGCCCTTTGGGGTGTCTCATAATTTCATTGGCTTTGACTATTATATCTTCTTGTGCCATGATCGAACCTTCTTCTTCTTCTTCTCCGGGAGTCAAAGGGGTTTATTGGCCTTCGTGGGCCGATTCAACTTTCCCGCCCTCCGCCATAGACACAACTCTCTTCACCCACGTCTACTACGCATTCCTCCTTCCTAACAATGTCACATTCCGCTTCGACGTGGACCCCACCACCGCAGACCAGCTCCGCCGCTTCACGTCCACCCTCCGGTCAAAATCCCCGCCCACAAAGACTCTGTTCTCCGTCGGCGGCGGCGGGGCAGACCCGAAAGTGTTCGCGCGGATGGCGTCGCGCGCTCCGAGTAGGAAGGCCTTTGTCGACTCTAGCATCCGAGTGGCCCGGGCGTTCGGGTTCGACGGGATTGACTTGGACTGGGAAACGCCACAGAGCCCGGAGGAAATGAGCGACTTCGGGCTGCTGTTGGCCGATTGGCGCGCCGCCGTAGAGCGGGAGGCGTCGGCCACTCGCCGCCCCCGGCTCCTACTCACGGCCGCCACCTATTTCTCGGCGGATTTCTTCCTCGGCCCGGTGTACCGGGCGTACCCGGTACCCGCAATTAACCAGAATCTGGACTGGATCAACGCGATGTGCTACGATTACCACGGATCGTGGGACACGACGGCGACGGGAGAACACGCGGCGCTTTTCGACCCGAAAACCAACATAAGCACCAGTTATGGGCTCGGGCAGTGGATCAGGGCCGGCCTGATGAGAAGCAAGCTGATAATGGGCCTGGCTCTGTACGGGAGGACATGGAAGCTGAAGGATTCGAGCTCGTACGGGATCGGAGCGCCGGCGGTGGACGTGGGCCCGGGAGGCGGAACTCTGAGATTCGACGAGATCCAGGCATTCAATCGGGAGAATAACTCGACGGTGGTTCATGACGCCGCCACGGTGTCGGTGTACTCGGTGGCGGGGACGTCGTGGATTGGGTACGACGATCCGGCGTCAATATCGATCAAAGTCAAATACGCTCGGGCCACTCTCAACCTCGGTGGTTACTTCTTTTGGGCCGCTAATGGTGACTCCCAGTGGATGATTTCTAAACAAGGTGTGTTCTGTTTGACTTTTACAATTCGCACTACATAAAATGAAAACAATCCATCTTTTAATACCCTCTTGAAAAACTTATAATTTTCAATATTTTTTAAAATTTTTCAACTCTTTTTAATTTATTCGAGTATTTAGTTATTCTTTCTGTCTCTTAAAAAATTGTCACAATTTGATATTTTTTATTAAGTTGTGACATTCTTTGATCACGAATTAAATATAGTTTACAATGATTAAATAATATAAAAATTTGATATTTCAAAACTATAATATAAAATAAATCTAATTTTACTAAATTTACATTATAACTAACTATACTTTTTTCATAATTCGTAGTCAAAGGGTGTCACAGTTAGATTGTTAAAGTCAAATTGTGACAATCTTTTATGGACGGAGAGAATGTATTTTTAACATTATTTTTGTTGCAATACAATTATTATTTTTATAATTATAACTATTACTAATGCCAAGTACTATTTTTATTATCTTTGTCATTGTCGTCATCATCTTCATGGTCACTAATATTGGAGTGATGGGGTAAAATATGTGTAGTGTCACAATTCATGTACTCCCTCATTTCCCAAAAGGTTGATACTACCTCCCTCCTAGAGTATTTGTCCACTTTCATTTTTACACACCATCCAATACACTTCTTTAATCCATTTTATCTTTTAATTTATATATTAATAAATTATAGAAATTATATAGTAATAATCTATATGTTAAGACAAATCAAACAAGATCACACATGACTATATTTAGCCTTACACATTGAGAGAATTTGATGAGTCAAAGTGCTTAGATGAACTGTTCCAAAAGTCAAAACTAGACGAATACTCCGGGATGGAGGGAGTATAATTTTATTTTTGTCAAAACTGTAGTAATCTTTGACCACGGATTAAATATAATTTAAATTAATTAATGGTACGTTTGGGAACATGGATTTGGATTTCAAATCCGGATTTGACTTAAATTCCATGTTTGGGAAATCTAAGCATTTTGAATTTGGATTTGAGTCAAATTCTTTACATTCAAAACAATGCTTAATTTGAAATCCATGCACCTCCCCTTGTCATTTGAAATTCAAGATTTCAAATTTTGGAATTGAAATGCATGAATTGAAATGAAATGCTAATTGCCAAACACTACCTAAATACAATTAAAATTTAATGTTTCAAAAATACATTTAAAGTAAATTCAGTTTTACTAAATTTACATTAGAACTAAATATAATTATTCTATAATTCACAGTAAAAAAGTGTCACTGTTTGATCAAAAAATTCAAACAGTTTCAAGAGTGAGTAATAATTTTTTTTTGTTCTCAAAACAATTGCAGTTACAATATAAAATCAACATAAATTATTGAATTTTAGGACCAATCAGTAGCGGATGCTGAGTTTGAAGATATTTCAATTTTTTTTTTTTTGCAGCTAAGCAGTCGTGGGACGGGACTGCGGGAGCAATTTCTATTGAGGTTTAGAGGATGAAAACTAAGTTTATACCCTTACTTGCATATTAGGTGTATTATAGACATATACAGACAATAATTTTATATTTACCCTATACATAATTGTTGTGTCTGTAATATATTAGTCTGGTATGGTAGTTGGTTGGTATGCAATTTTAGCACACCTCATGCAACCACCGTGCAGGCCATAGTTTGGCAGATTTTTAGCAAAGTTCCTACATGAAATTAAATGTCATCAGAAGAGTAATACTCTGCATTTTATTAGGGTGCTCCTAATTACCACAATAAGCACATTCGCCTCATTCTTTATAGTTGCTTGTCATGTGGTGTGGTGTTTTGGTGTAATAATTTCTTCTTTATTTCATATTTTTTCTATGTGTGATAAAAGTTTATATTAACTTTTATATATGTTGTATGAAATAGATTTTTTTATGTTGTTTATATAAATGCTCTATCTATCCCTAAAAGATTTTCACACTTCATAATTTAAAAATCGTGAAATTTTTTGTTGGTTTGTGTAATTTTATCAATTATTTAATAAAATAAAATATTTTTTTCACATTTTGTTTTGTTGAACCTTTGACATAGTTTAATTTAAAATATATAAGTTTTAATTTTTACTGTATCTATTTACTAATTTTTAAATAACCACCGGCAAACTGTACTAGACCGGGTCTAGAATAGTTTGCTGAGATTAGAAAGTAAAGAATAGAAATCACCCTAAATAGGAGGACTAAAACATAGAGAAAAGTATCAAAATAAGAATTTCATGTTCTTTCCCCAAAATAGGATTTTGCAATGTGGTAATGTGACTTTGCTCTGTTGTAATGTAGCAATGTACATGTGCAAATTATTATATTTTTTTGGTAATGTATATGACCATATATGGTAATGTAAGTCCTATTTCGGAAATAAAAACATAAAAGTTCTATTTTAGTATATTTTCAATGTTTTAGTTCTATTTTGGTCTTTCTCCCAGTAAAAAAATGTGGAACGCAAGAGTGACTGGTAGAACTGTAGGTGGAAGCACGTTTAGTCAAATTGTTATTAAGTATGCAAAAACGTACTGGGAGTTATTACAGTATGAATTCTAGAGAAATGTAATTCGGATTCCTTCCTTTGAGGGTTACATACACAGGTATTTATAAGGAAAGGGAGGGGATAGAGCGTCGTGCGCCCACGCCGACCCATAGAGAGCAACTACATCTCGTTTAGTAAAAGAGAGTGCATGCTCATGAGTTGGCTAGAAGAATCACACACAAAAATCTAATGGTACTATACTTATCTTCTTGAGTTTGAAGCAATGATTGCGAAGAGTAAGTGGTGGTGGCAGGTTCAAATCAAATATAGGACCCACCATCATTTACAATGACGCGGCATATGGTGAAAAATGAAAAATTTTTAAATGATCCTCACATGGAAAGGTTTACTCCACTAGCACATGATCTTGGGGAGGGATTATTTTACTTCCGACTATAAAGATATGTTGCTTACAATACTTTTCTTTGTAGTTGAGACTTAGATACACAATTAAAAAAAGAATAGTTGGATAAGTCCAACGTGAAACTCTATATGTGTATCGGTAGAGTGGCACAATGGCATCAATTCACGTAAGAATATTGGTTGTAACAAATGGTGTCTAGATCATCATACACACAGGTAACTCAAGACATACATTAAAAAATACTTAAAATATGGGTTGTGATGTTAAGGGTCTTACCAAGTCACACCAGATATTTTTTCCCAAGGTGAATTAGATGAAATTTTCTAGTTTTATTTGAAGACAAACTTTCCTGGTGACACCGTATGATATATCCTGCTTGATTAGAAACCCAATCATAAAACGAAAATGATGGTTGGAAGCATTTTCTGAAAAAATTAAAGATGGGATGCCGTCATACCTAGTCTTCGGTGGTTTATTGCCATCATTATGTTAAATTAATTATTGAGTCGAACCTATTTATTTAAGTTACATGAGTATTCCGGTGATGTTGCTTCCAAAGGCTTCTCGCAACATTTGAGTTGTTTACTCTCATCGACTTATGTTTATTTAAAATTTTTATAAATGGATGCTTTACTTTAAATGTTATTAAATATTGTACATATAGATACCAATTAGTAGTAACTTGGTTTGCAAACTTGGTTATTTTATAAAAATTTAATATTTCAAAACTACATTTCATAAGGAAATTAAACTATTTATTTTATAGTTATATCAAAATACAACGTAACATTTTCATAATTGAGATGAAAATTTATAAATTTGACCAACAAAAATCAAATGAGAAATCATTTCAGAAGGGAGGGATTAGACCTGGCAAAAATGCCCCGGACCCGATAACTTGAACCGAATAACCTGGAATCGAACCCGAAATGATACAAAAACTGAAGAACTAAAATTAAACAGGAACACCTAAAATGATTCGAACCGAACCAAAACCATATAAATTGTATTCAGACTCGAGATAGATCAGGATTCGATTGAACCCGAACCAATTAGATCCAAACGGATTAAACCCAAAACTGATTAGATCCGAATCAAATTAGAACAAAAACCAATTAGACCAAGAAACCAATTAGAGCCAATATTGATCAAGTTCAAAATAAATTAAACTCAAATTTAGATGAACCTAATAGGTCATTGGTTGATGTCTTTCTAAGAAAAACATATTTAAATTATAGGTACTATTGATTTAATGTACAAATCTTTTAGTCCATATTTTATCACTTAAACTAAGATTGTTATCTATTTTTATAGAGATTTTATATAATTTATAGTGACATCGTAACATAATTAATGAATATACTAGTTCATTATTACTGACACTTGTAAATCCAAATTGATATAAACCCAAACTGATATAAATTCGAACCAAAATTGACTCAAAACCAGAAAAATCAAACTGAATTTAACCCGAAATCGAACTGAATCAACCTAATCCGATTATAACATATATCCGAAAAGGACCCGAACCGAAAAGATTCGAATAGGAACCCAATTGGGCAACTCCTACTCCCGCCAATTTCATTTTCCCGCTAAATTGTGGAGGCGGGTGGGTGGATGTTGTTTCGCCCGATTATCCCAACAAACAGTTCGCTTCCGCATCTCCTTCATTTCTGCAATGGCGGCGTCTCGGAAATTGACGGATTACGAGCGTCTGAGGCTGGAAAACATCAGGCGTAACCAGGAGAAGCTCGCCGCCCTCAATATTCAATCCCGCCTCTCTCCCGCAGCCAAGCGTCCCAGGTACTTCTCGTCTTCCCCTCCATCTGCCCCACCCTAGTGCGTCAAATGTGTAGGATTACTTGTTCAAATGCAGTAAGTTAGTTCATTTTCTTAGGGCAGTTGTTTTCAACTCGACCAAAAGCTTAGCTTCTGGATTCATGAAAAGATTTTATACGCCAACTGTTTTGTTATCTTTTTTGCTTATATGAGAGGCACGGGCAGAGGAAATTGTCTAGTTATCTAGAGACTAGGGTTTTTGTATCAGATATTATAGTGTGGTGTGCACAGAATTTTGATTTTGGAATCACAATGTTTTCTAGCCTATTTGTGTTTCCTGTTTCTTATGGGCGTCACTTGTTCATTTGCTTTGATCTCAGAGTGCAGAATAAGTCTTATAAATTGAGTCCAGAGAAGAAGCTGAAATTTGAGAGTCCCATTGTCCTTCGTCGTTCTCTAAGGACACGGGGAAAGCCGCCGGATTCTTCTACGTCTGGTGGCCTTAAGGATGACTTTGATGAATCCAAAAGTGAGAATAAACTGGGGCCTCAGTTCTCCCTTGCTAAATTGCGTAAAGAACCTGTACCTCTCAATATGAAAGATGCATTTTGTGGTGAGAATTATGGCCCAAACCAACAGTTGATTGAAACAATTAAAAGTTTATCAAGAAAAGAACAACTAGACGAGAATGCTGATCAAGAACTTATTGTTTGTGAACAAGAGAAGAAGAGAATACCTCCATGTTCAATAGATATTGATTCATTGAGATTGGAACCAGAAAATATGGCTCGGGTTGTTCCTGGAAGAATACTAAATGTGAAGTTTATCCCTACAGCAGGGATGAGAATGGTTGTTGCAGGAAATAAGTATGGAAATATTGGTTTCTGGAATGCTGATGCCAAAGAGGACGAAGATGGGATTTATTTGTACCAGCCTCATTCCAGTCCAGTATCAGGAATATTAATTGATTCATTTTCACAGTCAAAGGTTTGACATAAAGATCTTCATGGTTGAAGTTTTTTTAAAACATAATATCTGAATCCATTGTTCTAATCTATGGTTTCACTTTGTTTCAGATGTTTACATCCTGTTATGATGGGTTTATCAGGCTGATGGACATTAATAAGGAGTTATTTGATTCCATATATTTAAGTGATTATTCTATATATGCCCTATTTCAAAGACCAGACAATTCGAATTCATTATATTACGCTGAGGGGGGTGGATATCTTGGAATATGGGACTTGAGAGCTGGAAAGTCCTCATCATCATGGAAATTGCATGAAGATAGGATCAACTCAATAGATTTTAACATGGAAAATAGTAATACTATGGCTACAAGCTCAACAGATAGAACTGTATGTGTCTGGGATATGAGAAATGCTGGCTCTCATAAACCAAAACCTTTGAGAACTATTCACCATGAAAGAGCTGTGCATTCTGCTTACTTTTCACGTTCTGGTCAACATCTTGCGTCAACAAGGTATTTTATTCTAGTCTAATACTATAATACGATATTGGCAGTTTGGTATCCTAAATGGTTAATTTTATTCCCATTGCTAGGGTGAATATATTTAGACAAAAAAGAGTCTTAGTCAAGATACATAAGTAATCGTATTTATGCTTGTCCTGAATTTTTACAATGGGCATAATTTTCATAAACTCATAATGCTTGAGATTCTTTATGCCTGATAAAACATCATAGCTATGTGTATTGTCTAATGATGAGAGAATAGGCTCATAGTGGTCTTGAATCTTCATATTGTTTACTTCAAGTTTGAAAGACATGAAATCCATTTAAACTACGAGTTGTGAAAAGTTACAAAACATCTATTAGTGCCAGTATCGACTGGTAGAATTACTTTTTTTTCTTGTTTTGCGCAGTTTTGATGACAAAATAGGCTTGTCAAGTGGAGCTAATTATGAAGATGTAAGCATGATCCACCACGATAATCAAACAGGCAGATGGCTGTCTTCTTTCAGGTAAGTTGTTTTTTTCATTCTTCAATCTTCAGTAGCTTTCCCAAACAAATATTGATTCACAAACATTTTTGAAGGGGCAGGATTCATAATTGTGTCTCATTCCCTAGTTTTCTACTACATAGTAAAGTAATGAAGGGGTTAATGAGGCCAATAGTAACGCTTGGAGAACCTTTTTTTTATTTTGTACATGAAAAAGGTCAAGAGATTTAAAAACTAAAAAAGGATACCCTTTTTTTTTAATTTTGTACATTAAACTAATTACAATCAAATATCAAATTAATACACAAGGATATATGTCTTTGAATGTAATTTTCTCTACAAATTGTGAACAACTTAGGCTTTGTTTGGGAATCGCCTTGTCGACTAGGTTAGTATTTTTGATAAAATTTTAATGATGTAGATTAATTTTGAAAACGTTAAAACTAAAAGCTGCCAGAGTTTCTACTACCAATCCTCCATCACCGGGGGTTGCCAAACGGCGCCTTAGTTTGTTAACATTTTTTCCTTAACAGCTAACACAACCTGTTAGTCAAAACAGTCAATTCAAACCTATATTCAAATAAGCTAACACAAAGAACCAACCGTGAATGGCTAACAACTAGTTTCCACACAAGGCTTAAGGCCCCGTTCCGTTCAACTTATTTTTTCTGCTTTTTTCTTAATCTTATTAAAATCAGATCAGATCCAATCAGATCAAATCTAATCAGATCAGATCAGATCCAATCAGATCAGATCAGATCTAATCAGATCAGATCAGATCCAATCAGATCAGATCAGACCAGATCAGATCCAAATAAGAATTATTATTATTATTATTATTATTGTTATTATTATTATTATTATTATTATTACTACTACTACTACTACTACTACTACTACTATCATTATCAATATCTTTATTACTCCTTACTTTTTAAATTCCATATTTTTAGTTGTTTCACTTGATACGGTTCTTTTAAAAAATAAATTTAATTCTATTTAAAAAATATAAGAAGAAAGAACATGAAACTTTTTGTGTGATTATAATTTATGTAGACTAAAATAAATGATATGAAGCACAATTGTTTTCTTAAAAATGAAAAATAATAAACTTTAGAAACAAGCTAAATAGAAACCTGAGAAAGTAATCTTTAATTATTAATGAAAAATGTATTATTTCTTTGCTTAACATTGATAATATAAGGATGTGATCTTTTAATAAAAATATTAATGATTATTAATAACATTGATTATCTATATTAAATAACATTTTAGTGCATATATAAATTAAATAATTATTCTAATGTTTATATAAACTAATTATTAAAATATTAAATCAATATTATTCATTAAAAAAATCATAAAATAAAAAATATTATTACATTATAATATGAATGATTATTCTAATATATGAGTTAATTAATTTTGTTTCATTAAAAAATAATCATAAAAAAATATTGATTATATTATAATATGAATTATCATTACAATTTTCNATCAGAACCAATCAGATCAGATCAGATCAGAACCAATCAGATCAGATCAGATCAGATCCAATCAGATCAGATCAGATCCAATCAGATCAGATCAGATCCAATCAGATTAGATCAGATCAGATCTAATCGGATCAGATCAGATTTAATCAGATCAGATCAGATCAGATCTAATCAGATCAGATCAGATCCAATCAGATCAGATTAGATCAGATCAGAACTTATTAAAATCAGATCAGATCAGAAAAAATAAGTTGAACGGAACGGAGCCTTAAGTCACTTATTTTTACTGGTTTTGAAGTAGGGCGGATTAGACTTATTCATTATAATTCTTCAAATGAAATAAGGTATCCCTTTTTACCCACCAAATTTAGTTATAAATAAACATGAACTCAATGCACTCCATTTTGCCGCAACTAGGGCTTTAAACATTGGATGTTACAATTGCAATATTCTGCATAGCAGAATAAAGTCGAGAAATTGAATTAAAACATCACTTGTTAGAGGCTCTTGAAGTAACCCTTTGAAATGGTTTGCGTGCATGCGTTTGATTGTACTGCATGATCAAAGCCAAAACCGGTTAATTAAGAATATATTCTATTTCTGAATGTTGTGATTTATGATCGAAACAGAGGCATATGGGGCTGGGATGATTCATATATATTCATTGGCAACATGAAGAGGGGAGTCGACATCATTTCAACGCACGAAAAGACGATTGTTAAGACATTACAAAGTGAATTGGTGTCTGCTATTCAGTGCCGCTTTGACACACACCCGTACAACGTTGGGATGGTTGCAGGCGCTACCAGCGGTGGTCAGGTTTATCTCTGGGGGACGTCTTAGCACAACTTATACAACCTGTTCTCACTTAGCTTCCTCCACCTGTTGGAACGAAATTTTCTACTAGAAAATCATTTATTCTCTTTTGGCGGATCATGTTCCAAAACAAGATGTACTATTATTATAACCATATACTAGTATGTCATTAGATTACCTCTTCCTGGTATATATACTTTTAAATTTGGTTATATTGAACATTGAAGACAAAGAGAATAGACAAACAACAACAACAACAACAACAACATAGTCGGATCCCACAAAATAGGGTCTAAGGAGGGTGTGTGTATGCAGCCCTTGCCCTACCCGAAAATAGAGACTATTTCCAACAGATCATAGGAGATACATGAAGTAGAGAAGTATAGGTAAAGCACCAAGCACACCGAGGCATGGAAGAAACTAAGGTTAATGAAGGAGTGTAACAGGGAAATACAATGTCATAACAAATAAAAACACACCAGTGGAACATGTATAACATTATTTGGGTGCCCAAACACAGAACGGACGAACTAACTTGGACCAAATTATTTAGAAATTAAGGCGCAACATTAGAAAAACTCAAAGCGGCACACAATAGTTATGAGAATTAGGTGGTGGTCTTTGGAGGTGTATTGGCAAGTTTCCAACTGAATTCCTTGATACCATCAAACCAAGCATCCCCTGCAACTTCATTCATGGGGAACAACTCTGTTACTTCTTTCACCTCTTCGTCCTTCAGTTTTACCTTCAGTGATTCAATATTGCTGTCGAGATTTTTTACCTTGGTTGTTCCTACAGGCAAGAACCCAAACTCGACTACTAATTAAATTGTCAAAAACCTACTACTCTGTATATATTATATGGATTAAGAACACTAATTATGATTAATTGTGAGATATGACGTGTTACAACAATAGCAACAATTCACAAGCAAATCAAAGAGTGATGAGTTTTTCTATTACCGGGAATAGGGACAACGTCATCCCCTTGATGAAACACCCAAGCAAGTGCGAGCTGTGCGGCGGTACATGCATGCTTTTCAGCCAGCTTCTCAAATTTCAAATATAGGATCCTATTTTTGTCCAAGTTTTCTCCTTGAAACCTCGGGAAAACTCCCTTAAGAAAGGTCGCGAAATGTGTGTTTGTTTGTAATCAGCCAGCTAAGTATGTACAGTAATAAACTTGGGGATAATCCCTTAAAAGCAAATATATACATCTAACACTCCATAATATATTACGTACCAGAGAACTATTTTCAGCGATAGCCCCATTCGTTTTGCCAGCAAAGAAACCACGACCAAGAGGACTGTACGGGACAATCCCAATTCCTAATTCCCTGCAGGACAGTTTGAACGCATTTGTTTAATAATATTATTAGCTCTCATAGAAGTTCAAAACATATCATGGGCAAGAGGCCATTGAAATAGAATTCGAAGCTATATATAAACCTGCAAAGGGGAACTATTTCTTCCTCAATATCACGAGTCCAGAGCGACCACTCGATTTGTATAGCAGTAATGGGATGAACAGCATGTGCCCGCCTTATAGTGTCAGCGCTAGCTTCAGACAAACCAATGTACTTTATCTTTCCCTCTCCCACCAACTTCTTCAGTTCTTCCATCTGATACATACGGAGTATATAAAATAAAGGCAAATGTTTTTTGATCAAATGCAGGAATATGTATAGTACTTACAGTATCTTCAATAGGAGTGTTGGTGTCAATCCTGTGAATATAGTAAAGGTCGATGTAATCCACATCAAGACGTTTAAGGCTGGCCTCAAGAGAAGAACGCACGTATTCAGGCGTGCCTTTGACAGCGAAGCGAGCTGGATCCATGCTCACAATGCCGAACTTTGAGGCCAGCTGTACATTCTCCCGTGGCAGATGCTTCAATGCCTGCCAAATAAACAACGGGGAAAAGTCTCTGTTACATTATAAATAACTGTTCCTGGGCCACAACCACAAGCTTGAGCTTTTGGTTGAGTTGGTTCCTTGACATAGTATCGGAGCCTTGTTGACTAAGTGGTCACGGGTTCGAAACTCAACGCCACCCAGTTTTAAGAAAAATTAAGTGCAAGACTCGAAAAAGACTAGACCTGCACGTGAGGGGGCCTGTTAGAATATAAATAACTGTTCCTGGGCCACAACCACAAACTTGAGCTTTTGGTTCTTTGACAGTCTCGGTATAGATGGCCGTGGAAAGTCAAATGTAAAGATTTTATAGAAAGATGGATTGGTGTTACCTTTCCGACCAGTGTCTCGTTATGGCCGTCTCCATATGCGTCGGATGTATCGAAGAAAGTGATTCCTCTTCCGAAAGCGTGGTTAATGATGGAAATGCCGGCCTCGTCTGAGACCGGATCATTGTAAAAACCCGAAAAGCCCATACACCCAAACCCCAACTTTGAAACCTCAAGTCCCTCGCTTCCCAACTTCACTCTCGGAATATGAATTGCCATTTCTTTTATCCTTCACTAGCTGTTCTTTTTTTTGTTCTTCAAACAAAGGATAGTCAGTGTTGTTAGTTACTCAAAACAAACACACCCTTTAAATAGAGAATTTCTGTTCTTAATTATCTTTGCAATGACGCAATCGCGTAGGAGGCTACTGCTTAATTTCAACACCTCCACTGTAGCAGACTTTGAAAAGTTTGGCAACTCAAGACTTTTTTTTCCAAACTAGTACTCCCTCCGTCCACAAATAAACTTTACGTTCACTATTCACAGGGTCAAACTTTATTCACTTTGTTGGCCTATTTTCGTCACCCATTTGATAAAATAATATAGTCATATCACCTCTAGTTTTGTAGATCTTTTGATATAGTTTTTAAATATGTAATTTTTATTTTTCAATTCTACACCATTTTTCATATAAAATGATTTGAAAATAACTTCAGTCAAACATCGTAACGCGCAACGTAAAGTTTATTTATGGACGGAGGGAGTACTCCGTATGACTTCGCAAATTACAAAAACAGACTTAGCTCTACTCTTCAGTTGTAAAAATGGAACGGGATGTTGAAAAAGTTGAAAGAAACTGGAAAAAGTTGTAAATATTGAAGGAGATGGAAGAACCCGAGTTGGAAAAAACTAAAACAAGTTAAAATAAACTGAAATGAATTGGAACAAACTGGATGAAATTTTAAAAAATAAAAGTATGGAAATGATTACTATATTTTATAAAATTTATATTTTATTTAAATAATATATACTCACTCTTACTTTCTTTACTTTTTAGTAATGTTCTTGTCTCACATCATATTAGTAATATTTGTGTAACATTCACTCTTACTTTCTTTATTTTTTGAAATTGATTACAATTATATAATTTTTCGTTTCTTAAGTTGCATGTCACTAATTCATGTAATAAAACTAAGGGGACAAATAAAACAATATTTTTTACTCCATCCAAAAACTATCTTCTCGTTGCGTATTACGATATTTGATTTAAGTTATTTACAGATTATTATTTTTATGAAAAATGGTATGGAATTAAAAAATAAAATTACATATTTAAAAACTAAATTAATAAATCTAGAAAACTACAAGTGACATAAGTATATTCTTTTATCAAATGGACATAAAAAATAGGGCAATCAAGTGAATAAAGTTTGACAATGTGATAGTGAATGAGAAGATAATTTTTGAACGAATGGAGTATTAACCTTAATTGAAAGGAAAATGGACAAAAATAATATAAATAAAGATGTCTTGATAAAACAGAAATAATTCCATACCATATTTTATATATCAAACTAATCACAAAAAACCCCCGAGACTAACGATTCTAACTTTTCATTAGAAATTACCTAGCTTGTCCTTCCTATATTATGTCTCACAAAGACTTTCAATCTTCCTTTTTTTGTCTCTCTCTAAGGTATTTAAACTACAGTGTCAAAGATCTTGTGATCTAGCGGCATCATGATTACTTTCTCATATGGGAGTTCACAAGTTCAAATCCCAACGTGAGCAATAATTCTACATGACTAATAGGTACAAAATGAATTAACAAAAACTACCTTATTATAGAACTATTAGTGTTAGGAAACACATTTTTTATTGTTTAGCATTTTTAAAACTTTATAAAAGTCAAATATGAAATATTTTTCCCACACTTTTTTATTTGATTTTTTACTATCTCCAATGCAAGACTTTGAACACTAATATCTATGTTTATATATAAACATATATTATGAAAATATGATATTCCAACACCATGCGAAATTTATAGCATGATTTAAAGAATTTTTCCTATAAATTATTATCAAAATCTTAAATGCTGACCAGAACATGTTTCAAAGCAATATAATTAAGAAATATTTCAAAGTCACAAAAGAAAAATAAATTCATTAATTTAGCATTTTAATAATTTACATTGATTCCATTATGAGTAAAATTTATTTTGTTAGATAATTTTGTAATAAAGTATGACATTAAATCAATCTTTTTTCTTCTACTTCCTCTGTCTTAAAATGATCTTTCGAGTCACTATTCAGATAGTCAAACTTTAGTTATTTTCTCCATCTATTTTATTTAGTTATTTGATAGAATAATATAGTCATGTCATCTCTTGTTTTGTAGAACTTTTGATGTAATTTCAAATATATAGCTTTTATTTTCTAATTTTACACCTATAATCAAATAAATCAAAATTGAAAATAATTTTAGTCAAACCTCGTAAACTGAAATGAGAAAATTATTTTAAGACGAAGGGAGTATAATAATAATAATAATAATAATAATGATAATAATAATAATAATAACAACAACAACAACAACAACAACAACAACAACAATAATAATAATAATAATAATAATAAAACCATGAAATTATGCCTAAATAATTTTTTTAAGTTATTGTTAGAAGGAACTATAAGAAATGGGAAAAACTAGAAATAACTGAAAAAATTGAAAGAAGTTGGAAGAAACTAAAAATAATGAAAAAAATTTGAAGAATTTAGAAAAAGTTAAAAGGCATTGGAAAAAATTGTCGGGTAACCTTTTCAAAATGCTAACGCTAACTTCCAATGCTGATGTCAAACGTATCTTTAATCTCCTATTTCTAATTCTAATCCTAATCACAATTCTCTAATCCTACTAGTATCACACCCGTGCGTTGCACGAGTCATTTTTATGTTATTAAATTCAAATCATTTTTCAATGATAAAAATGAGATGCAATAAAATATGTAGATTATATTATTTTAAGGTAAAAAATATCACTGCTTTACAAATTTCAAAAAAATTCTTTATAGACTACATTATTTGTCCAATTTGTGGGAATATTATCTTCATTGCATATCAGAATTGGGTGTATAACTGTATAACTTACCTTTTTTAATTATTTTTTTCAAAATTGGGTATATAATTGTATAACTTACCTTTTGTAATTATTTCCAATTGGTTAACTTTACGCTTACCATTTTATATTACTCACATTAATAGGCTATTGTAATAAGAAGGGTTAAATTTTTTCGAAAATGGTGTATAATTATTCTTACCATATTTATTTTTTTGCATGATTGGGCATATAATTGTATAACTTACCTTTTTTTAATTATTTCCAATTTATATTACTCATGTTACTTATTATAAACTTAACTTTTTTTAATTATTTTCATTTTTTTGCGAAATTGGGTGTAATTGTATGACTTACCTTTTTTAATTATTTCCAATTATTTTTATTTCCGAAATCGGGTGTATAATTGTATAACTTACCTTTTGTAATTATTTCCAATTGGTTAACTTCACGCTTACCATTTTGTATTACTCACGTTAATTATTATAAAAATAATAGCTATATTAAATTCACGCTTATATTAAAAAAAATTCGGACATTTGGGAGATTCTGTTGTTTCTTACCATAATTTCGGACGTTTCCAATCAGGACTCATAATAACGTTGGTTAATTGTTTGCATATAATACATTGATTCCATTTTTATTGAAAACTTATGCTTTGCAATTTTATAACTTACATTTTTAAATTATTTCTAATTTTCAATACGTTAATTATTATAAATATAATAATTATATTAACGTCAGACTTATCATTTTATATTACTAATGTTAATTATTATAAAAATAATAGCTATATTAACTTCACACTTACACTAAAAAAGGTTTAAAATGACAATTTCTTAGGATATAATACATTGATTCCATTTTTATTAAAAACTTACGCTTTTTTATCTTATAACTTACTTTTTTTAATTATTTCCAATTTTCAATACGTTAATTATTATAAATATAATAATTATAACTTTACAATTTTGGCCACTTACCATTATAAATTCATAATTATTAACTTACTTTTCGGCCATTTTAACTTAACTTTCTTTAATTATTATAAATATAATAATTATAATTATTACGCCACTTATCATTTTAATTTTACAATTGCCATTTGTAATTATCAAATTTTTTGAGTGGGAAAATCATATATTAATTCCATGTCTTTGTAAATAAAATATGGATTCCTAAAACACCCACATCAGCAAAATCCATACAATTAGAATAAACATTGGTACGGAAAACACCTTCTTAATCAATTGTGCCGAGGTCATGTTGTGTTTGTTCCTCAGAACTCTTCATTCCCCGCTTAAACCGGATCCCCTCTCAAAGAAACAAAAGAAACCCAGAAAATAAAACGAAAAAAAAGAAAAGAAAACACACCCGGAAGAATCAATCCCTCTTCCATCTCTTCCAGAAGAAAAAGCAGAGGTGGGGCGGGTTTGGAATTCGGGCACGAAAATATATATAAAATCAAAATCTCTGCGTTCAATTGCGGGCCGGATTCCCACGAATGCGGTAATAAGAGCAGAGATTTCATTCGGGGCCGCCAGGTCGAAATGGGGAATGTGACATCCAGCGTGGCCGCAAAGTTCGCATTTTTCCCACCCGACCCTCCGACGTACGATGTTTCGAGGGACGAAGACGGCCGGCTGTGCTTCAGCGGCGTGACGGCGGACCAGAACGTGGACGTGCACTTGCTGGAAACGAAAGGCGGGAACAAGATCGTGGCCACCTTCTGGAAGCACCCTTTCGCTAGGTTCACGCTCCTCTACTCCCATGGCAACGCCGCAGATTTGGGCCAGATGCAGGGCCTCTTCCTTGAGCTCAGAGCCCACCTCCGTGTCAATATCATGAGGTTTTTCCTTTTTTCTTTTTTTTAATTTGTAGAAAACTAAGGTTGTTTTGTTCATTTTTTTCTCTTGCATTTCCATGTTTTTCTTTTCTTTTCGTAGCTGTTTATAATGCTGGTGATTTCATCTCATTCCTAATTTAATGCTTTCTATATTCCAATTTATTTAGAAATACATTTTAGTTGGACATAAAGAAATATTTTAAAAATTTGATTTTTCAAGACTATATTTAATTTCTAAATAAATCTAATGATACCAAGATCACATTAAAACTAAAATGTATTTTTTTAGCGCTATTGACTCGATTACAATGTAGTATCTCTTCATACGTTTCTCAACCTAATGACACAAAGAGTCAATGCCATGCTTTTGTTGGGGCTCGAACATGGGGGAACTAAAATTTACTTTAATTTATTTGCTAAATTATGTTGAAATTTGTGTATTTTGACCACGATAAAATTAAACAGGCAAAATATATTGGGATGGTGGGAGTTGTACCCCACTGCTACTTGGAAAGTAATCCCAGTTTATATTTACAACCTCCATGTTCTCTTCTGTTATCAATTGTGTATTTCAACAAAAGGTGTCTTGAATCACTTGCAAATTTCTATGTATTCTTTTTATAATGCATACATATTTTGGAGAATCCTTTTGGAAAAGTTTAGTGCTATAACCATTATGTGATATATCCAGAAAGAGCTTCTCTACCTTGTTAGGAATAATGTCTTCTATACACCTACACTTCAAAAACACACCTTATGGGAGTGTATTGGATTTTTTTTGAAGTAATGTATTTCATCTGATATCATTATGTTTCCATCTTTGCAGCTATGATTATTCGGGATATGGTGGATCTTCTGGTAAGGTATAATGAATGTATATGCCATGAAGCTATTATTCAATCTAAGAGTTTGATTCTTGAGAATATTTTTGAGAATATTTTTGTGTGTGGATATATTCAACAGCCATCTGAGCTCAACACATACAATGACATAGAAGCAGTCTACAAATGTTTGAAGAGCGAATATGGAATCAAGCAGGAGGATCTGATTCTATACGGCCAGTCCGTTGGTAGCGGGCCCACGTTACACCTGGCATCACGGTTGCAGAGGCTGAGAGCTCTTGTTCTTCACAGTGCCATTCTTTCTGGAATTCGCGTCTTATATCCTGTCAAGATGACATTCTGGTTCGACATCTTTAAAGTAAGTTAATCTCTTCACATTGGTTTCTTCTTCCTCGCCTTCGAAGTGTTGTTTTTTGTTTTGTTTTAAGAAGTGCTGTTTTCTTTTCATTTCTTGCCAGAACATAGACAAAATACGGCAAGTCAACTGCCCGGTTTTGGTCATCCATGTAAGAACACATGCCACCTCAATCTTCTTTTTTTGTTTAATTTTTCGTATTCTTTAGGTGGAATGAATTATCCTACATAGCAATTCTTTGGAATGAATGTGGCATGAGTGTTGTAGGGCACAGCGGATGAGATTGTGGACTTCTCCCACGGGAAGCGTTTGTGGGAGCTTTCAAAAGAGAAATACGATCCGCTGTGGGTGCAGGGGGGAGGCCATTGTAACCTGGAGACCTACCCAGATTTCATCACTCACTTGCGCAAATTCTTGAACGCAATGGAGAAACACTCCTTTGTTCATAAGAAGGAGCAAAGCAAACCGCGCCTTTCCCAGGCCTCCCAGAGCGTCCCCGACTACAAAAACAACAAGTGCTTGAGATTTGGAAAAAGATGATGGAATGATAACTCCTGGAAACCCCTTCTGATTAGGCCGGGCTTGATTAGATCTTTTTTTTTCTTTCTTGGCCATGTATATATATATGTATGAAGAAATGTTTAGTTTTACTCCTCTCCACACCTACACTCTCTTCCACCTGATGAATTCTCTAACTGGGAAGAGCAGTTTATTACGTGTAGTGTATGTAAATCCATCATTACCTGCAAAGTTTCAGGAATTTGTATTAATCATCTGGAATTCTGGATTGTGAAATGTTAGCCTTGGTATGCTAAGCCTCATGTTTTGATGTTAACAAACAATATAAGAGCTTAACGTTTGTTTAAGTGTTTCAGGAAAAACAAGAATCCATTAAGATTCGGTACTCAAGAATGAAGTCAAAACACTAAACTAGCGTAGAATATAGGTAGAAACCAATGTAAGGATATGACTTTATATACCTATATTCACAAGCTCAAAAGCACTCACAAAATATGTTTAAAACCATCCCATAAACATTTTCAAACATCTAAAAGGTTTTAAACTCAAACACGAAGGATTAAGGATATTTTGAAAAACGCAGGACTGCAGCACGAGACCCCTTACCGTCTGGACGGGACCCCCCTACCGTAAGGGGTACCGTACTAAGATAGGTACCGCCAAAGAGTTTTGGCGTGAGAAGGTACCTAGCTACCGTAAGCACGGGACCCCCCTACCGTATGGACGGGACCCTCCTACCGTGACCGTTAGGTTACTGTTCCTGATTTGTGATTTTGAATTAAATCAATCCTAATCACCTCCCAATGGCTAATTAACATCTTCCACTATAAATACAAGCCTAATCCTTCATATTTCTTTAAGAAACAAAGCTCTAAACACTCTCCCTTTATATTCTAAGTATGTTCATTCTTTTATTAATTATTTTCAATATTTTGGCTATTTCAAGAGCCTTAAATTCCTGATTTTTAAACACACACTTTGAGCTTGTGTTTCTAGTTATATACTCTCATATTCATAAGTTTGAATTGTATTTTTGAGAGAGTATATTTTCTTTCTACACCGGCTAAGTTTTGTTCTTCATTTTTATATTCTAGCCGTTGTGTAGAATCCTCTTTTGTGTTTTTCAAACACTTCTTTATACGGTCGAGAATAGCCGTTAAATTCTCATATTGTATCGGTCGAGGATAGCCGTATAAATCCTTGGGTAAAGGTTCAAGGATAGCCTTTGAAATCCTTGGGGGAACGGTAGAAGATAGCCGTTAAATCTTC